AACTTGGGTCTATTTAGCGAGTGGACTTTTACTTCCACCTCCAATGGACGGCACAGGTTAGCTATCACGAAAAAACTCAACCAGTTGTGGAAATAATGTAAAAAATTTAAGCCTTTAACCACTTCATGCAAGTCACAACTCCTGTAAACCAATGCAAACATAAATGACTGCAGAAACAATACCCTGCATTATCTCAGCCTATTAAATACAGCATAACAACCTGCTCTAGTTGGTTAAATGGTGTGCAGACTACTTATTTGACAGTGCACAGTTAGGACAGCTCACCTATGTTCATGAACTATGTCTGTTAAAAGGCTGTGAAGGGTTGTGCTTTGGATGAGTTAATCATTTATGAGCAGGTATCTCGTTGAACAGGAGTCTGACTGTGAGCTTAGCATAGCCTGGCTACATTTACTGGACTAAATGCTGCGTTTAGGTGTCACGCTGTGACTGTGAAACAGGCCAAAGAGACACAGCGCTGACACATCTGAATGGGACAAGGTGGGAATGAGGTGACATGACATGGATGAAGCTGAGGCAGCCAACTCACGTAGTGTTTGGACGGATTGCGCCTCTTCTCCACGTCCACCACTTTCACGTCCAGCACAGTCCGAAACTGCATCTTGACCCTGCAAAGGCTATGCATTAAAGGCGACTGGCAGGCAGGCAGGCAGGCAGCTGCTGCGGCTCCAGATAAGCTATCTTCTATCAGGGGAGAGAAATCCCAACATTCATCGCTGTGTTATTAAAGCATTCAGCGGTCCATTAAGACATCAGCAGCTCCTCGCAGCAGATTTGGCCGCTCTGACTTCCCCCGATGACGCAACGATCGTCAATATGATTAGAAACTTATCAATAGTCCTCGGTGAAATCCACACAGCAGAATATCCAAGACGAGACAGATTTTCACGTTGCAGTCACGCACACAGGCAGATATCCGGTGCGTTGGTGAAGTCGGTCACCTTAAATAGAGAGGGGAAAAAGTAAAGCGAGTTCCTTTGTGTCTGCAGCGATTCCTACAAAAGGGACATGAGCCTACCTGGAGGTTAGAGGGGCTGCATGAATGTAAAGGGAGCCGGCAAATCCAGCGCCATACGCCTCCTGCTGTGTTCCGGCAGGCGCAGTGAATTTAGGGAACGGAGTGGGATGGGCTTCATCACGTCCTCAGGGCTACTTGGAATAAAGCTGGCAAGAAAAAAGGGATTTGGCTGTGCCTTCCTCGACAAGCACGCTGTTGTGTGTGTATGTGTGTGTGACAGATATGAAGCTGCCTTTGAAAGCACCAGATAGGCAGAGTGTTCTTTTAGCTTTCCTACTATCCCTCCTCTTCATAACTTTTTACCTCCTTTTAAGAGAACATGGAAGAAATATACCGCCCCAGATATAGGACTGAATTCAAACTGAAATGTATCGAAGCTATTGAGACGTTTTCAGTTTATTTGCAATAGATGACAGCCAGGGGGTTATTAAAGACATAAGCAGTTCGCTCACTCTCTCTAGGATCTGTGTTTTCTGAGCAGCTTACTGTCCGGAGACACGAGCTCCTGGAACTATGGATACAGATGTTTCACAGGCGACCAATCAGCAGCTGCCTGTGCTATATGAAAGAGCCAATTAACGACCAAACACTGCCCCCCTGTGCACGCAGCAACACGTGCATGATGGCAAGAAAGCCCATTCAGAGGCACGACGCTGAAGCAAGCACAGAATTAACGTAGACTGTATACAGTCTATGGTAATGCGTTGCAGTTGCTTTAGCTGTGGAGGAAAGGGTTAAGAAAAAAAATCACTTTTAACACCGGACTTGTCAGATCTGGACAATATTATCCCAGAGAGTCTCGAAATTCTTTTTAACACAATTTCGAGATCTTCATAGAGAGACTTCATTAAATCTACAATGGATATAAAAAGTCTACACACCCCTGTTCAACTGCCAGGTTTTTTTCATGTAAAAAAATTTAAATCATGATAAATAATTGCACAACTTCTTCCACCTTTAATGTGACCTATAACCCGTACAATGCAATTGAAAAACAAACAGAAATCTTTCAGGGAGGTGAAGTAAAAATAAACAACTGAGATCATGTGGATGCTTAAGTGTGCACACCCTTTAATAACTGAGGATGTGGCTATGTTCAGATTTAACCAATAACATTCAAACTCAGGTTAAAATGGAGTCAGCACACACCTGTCACCAATTAAAGTGCCTCTGATCAACCCCCAAAAAAGTTCAGCTGTTCTAGTAGGCTTTTCCTGATATGTTTGTAGCCACATCTTCCAGCACAAGCCCTGGTCCTCAGAGAGCTTCCAAAGCATCAGAGGGATCTCATTATTCAAAGATATCAGTCAGGTGAGGGCTACAAAAGAATTTCCAAGGAATTAAATATACCATGGAACACAGTGAAGACCATCATTATCAAGTGGAGAAAATATGGTACAACAGTGACATTACCAAGAACAGGACATCTGTCCAAAATTGATGATAAGACAAGAAGAAAACTGGTCAGGGAGGCAACCAAGAGGTCGACACCAACACTGAATGGGCTGCAGGAATTTTTTTGGCAAGTACTGGCTGTGTAGTACATGTGACAACAATCTCCCACTGTCTTCATATGTCTGGGCTATGGGGTAGGGTGGCAAGACAGAAGCCTTATCTTACAAAGAATACCATCAAAAAGACATCTGGGATCTCCCAAAGGCATGTGGGAAAATGTGTTATGGTCTGATGAAACCAAAGTTCAACTTTTTGGGCATCATTGCAAAAGGTATATTTGGCGCAAAATCAACACTGCTCATCACCAAAAGAACACCATACCCACAGTGAAGCATGGGCGTGGCAGCATCATGCTTTAGGGCTGTTTTTCTTCAGCTGGAACTGGTGCCTTAGTCAGGGTGGAGGGAATTATGAACAGTTCCAAATACCAGTCAGTGCTGGCACAAAACCTTCAGCCTTCTGCTAGAAAGCTGGAGATAAAGAGGAACTTCATCTTTCTGCTAGAAAGCTGAAGATGAAGAGGAACTTCATCTTTCATCACAACAGAGACCTAAAGCAGACATCTAAATCAACAAAAGCATGGCTTCACCAGAATAAGATTGAGACTAGCCTAGCCAGAGCCCAGATCTGAATCCCATCGAACATTTGTGATGACCGCAATCAATATTGCCACATCAAGATGTGCCACACTGATAGACTCCTACCCCAAAAAGGGTAGGCGTCTATCAGTGATAGACTGCAGCATTAATAATGAAACGGAATTGAAATCGTAAATATGGATCAACGGTACTTCAATGGTTTTTCAACCATAGAAAATTTCTGTTAAAAATTCAAAATATTGTTAAATATGTTAAAAATGTTATGTCATAATATGCAGTCATAGCTGTACGTTATTAGAAACATGTTTTCCTAAAAAATAAAATGTAACATACAACTTACATCTTTTTAACTGAAACGAAGTTATTTTCATTCTTTTCAACATGATCATCCAGTTGACTTTTACAGTGGCTGAGAACCACCACTGCTGCAAATAAAAAAGAATACAAAAAAAGGAAGCCACCACAGAGGTTACCGATGCAAAAAAAAAAAGAAAAAAAATGAAGCCTGCTGCAAATAAAAAAAAAGTGGCGTTTTTTAAATCTGCACCAATTCTTTTTTTTTTTTTTTTTTATCTGCAGTGGGCTTCGGTTTCTTTTCCATTTTGCAATTTTTTATTTTTTTGCATTCTTTTTGATTTGCAGCAGTGGCGGTTCTCGGCCACCATATATTTTCATTCTTTACAGATTTATTTCCAAGTGTCCAGCCCCACTCACTAGGTCTAGGATGTAGCAGTCCCATCTATGCACCAGCCTGTATTGTATTGTAGTGTTGTGTTGTGAATATGCAAAAAAAGGAGGATATCAATCAAACTTTTCTTACCTAGTCTTCGTGGTCCAGGATATTTTCACAAACGGAAAAAAAAATGTTAAATTTTGTTTCAAAAAAGTGTAAATTTTTTAGAAAAACTCAGTCTAAATTTTATGGTACTAAGCGTTCAGGTTCTAGATCAGGGACATGACCCAAAATGCAAAAAAGTCAAATTAAATGGCGAAATCATCTTTTCTCAGCATCCTCAAAACCTAAGCTAAAATGTTATAAATCTGAAACAGTTTTTGTAAACTCTGGTTTGAAACTCTAGTTCAGGGATAGGTCCAACATGGTCTGAAAGTGCAAAATCACAGAAATCAGATTTTTTTTTAACTCTTTCAAAACTTTTTAAAGGTTTCTTAGATCTGAAAATGAGTCATAAACGCCAAATAACCTGGGATAATCTAGTTAAGTAAAGATAAGTAGATACTTACTAGATAAGTAAAGCAGATTATTAGTTTCCCACTTCAATGTTTTTCAATGTTGTTGTTAGATGAAAAAACCTTAAACCATTTTGTAAGTTCTTTTAACGTCATTACATTCACTTTATTCAAATTAGTTTACAATAGCCATGTAGCTCATTAGCGAATTGCTAATAAGCTACTAGAGCTCTGCAAAAGAAAAACCCTTAAAAAATGACACAGGTAATGTGATTTTGGCTAATAAACTTCATAATCACAATTTAAAGACCACAGTTGTAACAAAACAAAAAAAAAACATCGGAGTGGGACTTTAACTGCTTTTTAATCTTGTAATTGCTTCTTTGTGTATAACTAGGTAGTTACATGATGGTTTTGAGTGTATCTTGATTCCTTTTATTCATTTTAAAGATCCTATTTCTGTTTATTGCTGAAATTCACCCTTCTGCTTTCACCCATATTTTACTTAGAAAAGAAAAAAGGAAAGAGGATATGGAGAAACAGCACCAAACACGGATTTAGACTTTATTTTTTCCAATTTCAAATTACTGTTAAAAAATGATAATAGATATACTCATGCTATGACTACAACTTACTAGACCCTCCCATTCTGGAGCAATAGGCCAAACTGCACACCCCCTGTGCAGTGAAACAGGTCCCTCAGTCCAACTGTCCTCAGGTTAAAACGCAGTATAATAGTTGTCCCTGGTGCTGACGATTTCACTGTTGCACTCCAGTTTTCTGAGGATCACCTCCAGGGCAGCTTTTGTCACATTGAGGCTGTAGCTGTGTCTGACCGCAGTTAGGATGTGCAGGACATGACAGCCCTTCTCTGCAACTGTAAATACATAAAAAAGGAAACCAAAGTCAACACACGGGAGGTAAATGAGCATTAGGAGGTTATATAGACTTTTGTGGGATTCATTTTCTCAATCTTTTTGTCATTTAAATTCTTGTAGAAGTGATTAATTGTACAAATATTTAATGATTTGTTTTTTAATTTAAGCACTGAAAATGAAACGTTAATTGTTTGGGCGATTTTAATTGTTTACAGGTGTGATTAATCTTCATAAACAAGATAAAGCTTCCATAGGTCATTTCTAAAATCTAATCAATCACATTCAGCCCTTTTCCTGCAAAATTCATCTAAAGATGGACAGCTCAAGTGCTGTACTGTCTTCACCCTCGCAAGTTGGCTCCAGAACCAGTTTGACTAGTTGTTAATATTTTTATCATTTTTGGCCTGAAAACTCAGTCATCTAGTGTGTCTAAGCTGCACAGCTGCCACTCGGTGCAGTCGCCTTGGTTAATGGAAGATATGTTGCTTAGTACTACCAACAGCAGTTTAACATCGAAAGTCTTATTGTATAAAGCAAAACAGAAGTCTCCTTACAATGCTCCCTCTTTGAGTCCTCCCTGATAATGTCTTTGACAGCTATGAGGAGATCTGTATCCTCTGCAGTCACCTGTTGATCACAGAGTCCGACAGACATACATCCAAAATGCCAGCTCTCTGATGTGTAAAAAAAGAGTTATAACATTTCTCTGATGCTTCTCACATGATAGACTTCATCCTGGGATCTGACTTTGCGGTACAAAATGCCTTCATCCTGTAAAACTTGAAGGGTCTCCTGGACGAGCTGGCGTAGACGCTGGAATGAAGATGGTCCAGCCACAGGCCTCTGAACAGCAACAGAGAAACATCATAATAAAACAGTACTGAGCTGACTTCTGTTTAAGCACTTTTCATGATATTTATGCTCCTGTAAGATTTGGCCTTCAGTAAATGCCACAGTGGAACCAAGTCGTCTCTCTGCTGTTGAGGCATCAGAGGTAGTAACAGAGGTGGATTATGATTATTTTTTAAGAAATTGCAATTGTGGTTTACTTCACCTGTGTGTGGATGATTAAATTTTGCATCTTAATTTACTTTGTGATTGTAAAAAATAAGACATTCATGATGAGATTTTTGGAAGTCTGTATCAAGTAGGGCTGTCACAATATACAAGTATTAACAGATATTAATAAACTGAAATAATACTGCATTTGGTGATACTTTGAGTTTATAGTGGGGGTCTTTTATAGTAGTTGCCACACATCTGGGCGACAAAGATTTTAGGACCAGAATGTTTCTGCAGCAGTGCAACAGTACTTGATCATAATGCTTCAATAATACATTTTATCTTTTTCAAATAGCTGCAGCCCCTGACAGTCTACATATTGCACTTTGCTGCGTGGGGTTTGCTAATTTTATGATTATGTGCAGCAATGGCTGTGAGTCACTATTTTCACAGGATGTGGGTATTGGTAAAAAAAAAAATGGGTCACATTTCCAAAAGACTGCTCTCTTGGACCCAGTTTGGAAACTCCAAAAGGAAACAAAAGTTAACTTTTTTCTCTTAAGCATGTTTCAGTGCAAACAGCCTTCCAAAGCCCTGCTATGTGATTAACTCAAGTGCTTTCACAACACTGTAACAGATAGTGAAAACACACCCTGGGATTATCCTGTAGTGGGATCAGTGTGGAAGTACAAAGGTGTTGTTGACAGCATGATTTCCTCATTGGGCTCTCACCAACTCACAAAATAAAAAAGGGCCAATGACCACCTAACATGACCAATAACCTAAGACTTTATTATAAGTAATAAGTAAAATACATTTCAAAACATATTTGTATTCCTTTATTCCAGTCATGAGCCTCTCCTAAGTGCACTTCAATACGGTCTGACATTTGATCCCACCATCACACACCTTCAAAAAAACCTTTATTCTAGCTCACCTGGTCTTCTGAAGCTGTTTGAGAGTGGACAGGGAACAGAGGATGCAGGAGGTCCATAACATCATAGGGTCTGACCTTGCTCGCCATTTTCTGCTTGACAAAATCTTTGATGACATTTGTTGCCTTGCTGAGGAGAGTGAAGCTTGAGTCACTGCAACAACAAATGGAGAATCAGTCTTTAATATAATATGTCCTCATGTTAAAATTTACCTTGGCTGATAACTGAGAGTACCTCTATTTTATTCTCTATTTTCATTCTCTATTACCTAGTCTACATATTGAGTTTTTACTCTGTTACAGTCAAATATGTTGTGATATACGTACATTTTTCACGTTCACCTTCTCACTGCAATAAAATTCAATGAATTGTTTGTTCAATCAAAGAGAAAATGTGTTCATGTAAGCTCATTCCTTGATAAGAAAAGGAAATGAACAGCGGAAATAGAACTCAAAATGGTAGAAAAAAAAACTTAAGTGAAATCTGACTTCTAAGTTGCAACCTTATATTACAGTAAAGAGGGAGTGTTCTTACCCCATTTCATCAGGTTGCTGCAGGATTGGTTTGTCATAGCACTGTCTGTAAAGTTGAGGAACCTCCATCATCCACGCTATCTGGACAGCCATCACTGGGTCGTTGACTTTATCTGGGAACACACAGAGACACATGTACACATGATGAATGGACAGAGGTTATAGATGGAAGGTACTCCGAAATAAAAATGGCCTGTGTGTGGTTGTGTGAGTGAGAAAGGGGGACATGTGTAGGCCATCATAAAGTGAGACTGCAGAGCTAAGATAAAGAATGTCCTTGCCAGAGATTTCAAATGTGTGTGGGTCTGTGTGACTCAGTGCAGGTTGCTTTAGAGCATTTTTCATTTTAAAGGAGCCGTCATTGAAATGTTTGTACTCCATCACATTTTATCCAGACCTGTTTCTATAAGGTGTTTGTACAAGAGCAATGAGCACATCATATGCTAAATGGGTCCAGTTTTGTAGAACCAGGCCTGAAGTGTTTAGTTACTCTACCTCTTGTACAACACAGAGGGAAAGTGAGTGACTGTAAATGGTTCACTGAATATCACATTGCTCTTACAGCCTGCAGAGGACGGGAGTTTGTACTCACAGTAGACATGGGCTGTGATTTCTCTCTGCTGCCTGTATGTCTTTACCGGTCCTCTGACTCGAAGCAGATCTCCGATATCCAGGTGACAGCGATTCTTCTGGGCCTGTCTCAGCTTCTCCAGCTCAGCCACAGGGTCAAAGCTTCCCTGAGCCCCATCGCTGTGTTTAGCCCCTGCTGGAAGAAAAACAGCCCTCAGATAAGGAAACAGGGTTTACCACCATAAACTAAAAAATAATAATCTTGAAGCATAGTTAAAAGATGTTAAAAATTCCCTCCATTATCATGTTATTATATATGGCATTATAGAGTCTGACAAACACAGTCAAAGGGATATTCCGGCGTAAAATTGATTTATGGTCAAACACACCGCAACACCGAATTAGACACCTCTGGTATCTAGTTATACCAACTTTAGTAACGACTGCACGATAGCAATACATAGCAGTCTGAGGAGCCATAAACAAACCTCAACCAAATTGCCACTCTATAGCCACAAATAATGCTCAGAACAGCACATAACTTCATCAACAGTACATATATGGTCTCAGCCATAGCACTAGCTGCCAAACATCTTTTCAACTTTGCCTAATTTCTTTAGCAAAGAGACTAAACACAACTCACCTACTCTCTTCCAGCAGCCGCTTGTTTGTAGCGAGACCTCGGGTCAGTCCATTATGGACTACAGCAGAGTGATGCAGCTCAAGGAAGAACATTTATGATCATTTCTTCATGGAAATGCAATCAGACCGAGATGCTAAGGCAGAAGGACTTCCGCATCCGCAGTGCAAAATGATTAATATGGTGATTACTGCTTTAAGGAAATAATAGAGAAATGATCATAAATGTTCTTCCTTGAGCTGCGTCACCCCACAGCAGTCCGTAATGGACTGGTTGGTTGTTACTAAAGTTGGAACTAGAGAAGCAAGCGGTCGGCAACATTTATCTCTCGGGGGGGGGGGGGGGGGGTTGTAACTGGGTGTCACAGTTTGTTTGACCCTAAATGTATTTTACGCTGGGATATCCCTTAAAGTACTTAATATCATGTGAATGGGAGCATCTCAAAAAGTTTAAATCCTCAAAAAATCTGTATTTTTATTGAAAAATGAACACCCATATATTTTTTATTTTGTGCATGTAAAGTGAGATAATTTTAGCCCTCATTGTTTAATTTTAATCATTTTTGCTTAAAGCTCATAAAAACCAACAATCCAGTGCCTCACCAATGAAAAAAGTACTTTACAGGTACGGATAACCTTGGGGTTTAGGCGCTCACTATGTATACAAGTGGCCCACATTCAACTCCCCCCTATGGTGTCTTAAATAAATCACTGCATCAGTGTGTTGTGGCATAGAGAAAATAATGCTGTGAATTTGCTGAGGTGTTGATCCAGGCCTTAGCTGTTTTAATAGCAGCCTACAGCTCATCTTTGTTTTTGGGTTATATGTTCCTCTTTTTTCTCTTTAAAGATTCTTTGTAGGGTTGTGGTCTAGCCAATAGGCTGCCCCTTTAAACACAGTACACTCATGGCCAGCAAATCTTTTCGTGGCATTTTTGATATTGTGGTCAGGTGCTAAGTCCTGCTGGAAAAGGAAATCGAATCATTGCTCTAGGACCTTGATTTCCAAATGAAAGATAAGCAAAGGGCCACTGAGGATCAGTCTAGTATTTTCTTCTTCTTAGTCAAGGTAAGGTGCCTACTTGAATTGCTCAACATGAGGAATGTGACCTCTTTTGAAACCTCTCTCCTCCATGTTCTTGATGCACTCTGAAAGTCCATGTCGTGTAAAGCTCTCCCAAGTTCTTGAAACTACTATTCTTGACAATCCTTTCAGTAATTTCTGTTGCTTGCACACCTTTTTCCCAAACTTTCCATGCACACGCTTCCATACAGCTTACCCTCCCTGTGGAAGGTGATCATTGTCTTCTGAACAACCGTCACATAAGCAGTCTTTCCTGTTGTGTTTGGATTTTCGAGACTACACTGAAGGATACGTGGCATTTACTCTGTTTGAATAGAAATTTACATTTTTGAGCTTACGGCTACAATTAAAAAAAATGAAATAGAAACATGCTTGAAATATTTTAGTTTATGTGTAATAAGTCTAGAATATAGTTTCTTCTCCTTAAATTACAAAAAATATTAATCTTTCTATGATATTCTTATTTATTGAGATGCATCTATGCTCTCCAAATGACTAATGTAGAAATGCAGTTGACACTACTGTAAAGCCTCAAGAATCCACAGTTACTAAACAAACATATAGCCCTGTGTGTTTCAAAGTAAACCCCATTGATAGTCATTATGATGGACCCTCACCCTAACCCTAAAACTATACACTTAATTATCTGTGTTATGCAAAAATGCTGAAGACCTCCATAAATTATAAAATAATTCGGCATAGAAGGATATGCTACAAAGTGATCTAGGAAACAAAGTAGTAAGCATACTATAAACTCTTCAGAATATACAGGATTTAATCTTTTTGAATGTCAGTGTATTGGGATTTGGTTAATTCATCCAGTTGCAAATACAGAGCCTAAAATGAAGGTATGCAGCACTGATAATCATACAATTATAAACTCACATTTTGTAGGATCTCCCTTCTCTTTCAAAAGGTCTTTTTTCCAGCATAAGCAGTTTATAACACCAGTACCATCATCCACTGTGAGCAGGAGGAAAGACAAAAGAAATCAGGTGTGGCAGATCTCCTATTCTGATGAGTCTGTAAGTCATATCCATTATAATTAAGGTCATTTTCACAACAGATGCTTCCATTTATATCAGTTTGTTTGTTGTCAACAAAACTATAAGCAATGCCAATTAAGTTTTCTCAATGCACCATTAAAAACATGCATCTATATGAGTACTCTGCTGCCACTACCATGGTGGGTCCATAACATTCACTAAAGGATTAATACTGAATAAAGTACAATTATTTATTTCACAAGGAAGTATTTGCACACAAAAGCATAAAGACACTGATTTGCTCGCTCATATTCACACTACACATTTCTATACCATAAAAATTGTATTGTTGTTTTTTAGGGAAAATACCTCCATAGCAGAAGAAGCTATCTCTTTCTCTCTTGTAAACAACCGTCCCAAGTACATCAACTTGAAAGATTGGATGTGAGTTGTAGAAGTAAACATCTGTGAGACATGGAAAGAAAAAAAACCACTAAGGATAAAATGGGGGGAAATGTTAGCGTTGAATTTGCAAAGAAAAAATAACAATTTATGTTTGCTAAGTTGTAAGTTGTCTTTACTAGGTCATACAGAAGTATGTTATCTTTGAAAATACAACAGGAGTTTACCTGGCACCTGTATGGATTCTGTCATCTGCAGGATATCTCTGACATACAGCTTCGCAAAGGTAGAAAAGATAGGATCCAGTCCCCACAACATCGATGGGGGCTCTTCCACTGACTCCATCTGAGCTGCCTGCATTTCATCGTGGGTTTCAAAGCAGATTTTTCTCTTCCCTGTCGTGCTGTTTTAATTCAATCGAAAAGGCGCCCGAATTACAAGTTATGCTAGCAGCAGGGGGGAGTGTCCAGAGTGTAGTTCATAAGAGGAACACAAATGTTGACCACGTGTCGAATTTCTTCTTCTTCTCCTCCTTTTTTTATTGGTTTCCTAGAGACTACACACCTAGTGGCGTATTGCTGCCCCCTCCTCTTGTCCGAGGAATTACATATACATTATACATACAGTATATGATAACTCTAAATTTTAAAGTGACGTCCAGCGCAACCACAAACTCCAGTGGGAAAGTAGCTACTTCTTTTTTGCACTTATCTGGATTTAACATAGTTCCCCAAGACACTGATGGGAGTCCAAGACGCAGTATTTCTACAGGGAGCTTTTTCCTGGCATCAGCATCAGAGCTGGTGAAAGCCTCAATGGGGCCCTAAGCAAAATTTGATTTTGGGGCCCTCTGTTTCTGCCAATAATATTGATCGTTGATCATTCACACACCTACTACGGTATAAATTTAATGCATCTGACATGTCTTTCTACATATAAGGAGTTGGCCTAGGTAATAACATAAACAATACCATTGCAACCATACAAATAATACCAATGAATGACTGATGAATGATGTTCAGGTTCAAACTTCAAAATGTAACACATTCAGGATGCAAAGTGCACATTGCACAGCAGGAGGCACATAACGGTAGTGGAGCTTTGACATATCGGCAGTAAGAATCGTAGGCCTACATCAGCAGCAGCACTCAAATGTTTTTACTTTATTTTATTTTTACAATAATATATTTGATCATACAGAAAGCATCACTCATACATGCAAAAGATTACATATATACATATATATATATATATATATATATATATATATATATATATATATATATATATTGGATTGCTCTTGGGGGGCCTCCTATTGGCCACGGGCCCTAAGCAGGCGTTTAATTCGCTTATGCCTTGGGCCGGCTCTGATCAGCATACTCCTTACATTCCATTAGCACATATGCAACTAACTGCTTTTTACAAAATTAAAATCAAAAATTAAAAAATTTATTATTTTGCAAACATGTTCGCCATACATTAACCTCTGGTCAAACCACATACTGAGAAATTTGAAGGTAATTACCTCCTTTAAAGGTTGCTCATACAGCTTCAAACCAAACTCTCCAAATTCACACTTTCTACCAGTAACATTAATTTTTTCTTGGGTACAGAGAGATGGACCCCCGTTTAGTAGTCCACATCTGTAACTTGTCCAAAGCACCTTGCATCTGATTGAACAGATTCTTTATGTTTTGTCCTCTCTTCCATACAACCCCATCATCTGCAAAGAGAGACCTCTCGAAACCATTTCCAATCCTGTATGTCATTCACCATTATATAAAAGAGAACAGGGCTTATTACTCTACCTTGAGGAGTACCATTGTCTACAAATACTGTACTTGAAAAGGTTCCTCAAACTTTGACTTGAATTCAGCGTGACCCTAAAAAGTCTTTGATCCGACTAAGCATTCTTCCATGGATCCCAGCATCAAAAAGCTTTATAACCAACCCGTCTTTCCAGAGCATGTTGTATGCTTTTTCAGTGTCAAGAAAAACAGCAACAACTATATGCGCCTTCCTGACTTCCCTATCCAGAAGCAAGACTAGGTCTAAAGTAGCACACCCCGATCTAAATACATTTTGAAAGGGACAAAAATACTCAGACTCTTCAAACCAGTACACCAAGCAATCAATGACCATTCGCTCTGTGACTTTACACATTACAGTTGTCAGTGCAACGGGTCTATATGACCCAGGACTTTTTGCCTCCTTACCAGACTTCAAAATAGGGACTGTCACAGCATGTTTCCATTCAGCTGGGAGATGCCCCTCCTCCAATACCACATTAACAAGAGCTAATAACTCTCCCTGGGTCCAATCATCCATACGTTCCAAAATCTGATAGTTCAAGCCATGGATTTTTTATTATTTTGACCCATTAGACTCTATATATTCTATATAGACTCTATATACAGTCTATAGACCAAATCATTTCTGCTTGGGGTAGTATGACTTGCTTAATTGCTTGTTTTTACTTCTTTATTTAAAAAAAAGTGTGTGTGGGGGGGGTGGGGGGGTGGGGTGTCCTCACAACACTATTATTGTACTACTTATTTATGATTTAAAAGTAATTTATTGAAATTTTACATTATCCCTATAGTTACAGTTCGTATTTCGCAGAGGTTCATGGGAAACGTAGTTCCAGCCAGGACACAAAGAAATCTTCAGTTGTGTCTTTGATGCGGTGGTGGCTGTTGGATGGAGAAGTAATGTTTCGAAGAACAACTGCTCTTGAACAGACTCGTTGTTTCTCTTTGGTAAACAGTTGTTTTAATTGTTTTAACCGGTTAACCCATCGCTCGCGTACGTTGTGTTTGGTCCCCCGTACGGACGAGGGCAGCAGAAGACTGACTTTCCCCCACCAACGGTCAAGCACGAGGAGCGAGAAGAGAAAGAACTGAGCCCGCGCGCACTCACGAACGCGCACTGACACTAAATCCGCTAGATGATTAAACCAGTCCCACACCAAGGAAAAGATGACTGTTTTTACCGTTTTAGCGAATGCTTATGTGCGGAAAAGCTGTAACTTTTTCCATTCTCCGGGAAACTAATGAATTATTCTGTGGAATATAACTATTTGGAAGGACACATCTTTTGCCTCTTGACTGAAGAGGAGCCCCACAGGGTTGTCGGGCTAGTTGGTCGTCAGGAGTTGGAACAACAACGAGCTTCCCGTACTACTTTGTCCTGAAATTGACGGTTTTTCTGTGCGGATTTCAGACGCTGGAAAACGGCAAAACAACCTTTAGTTGTTATCTAGGGGTAAACAATGACCCCCTGATACGCGAAAGTGCTATCTTGTCTGACCAAAACAGTGTCAAAGGCTAAGCTAGGTTGTGATCCTCCTGACTATTCTGTGAGCACCACTGTGTTGAACGGGCAGATATTAATAACTTATGGGACACATGTTACTCCAAAGACTAGTGCCAAAGTAAGGGAACTGGAACTGCTTTGGCATTTTAAGTTTAATTTATCTTTTTAACTTTATGATTGAATGAAGCAGATTTCAGTATGTCATTTTTTAATTTTCGTAAAATATTTAAATTGGGAGCCGAAAAAAAGAAGAAACAGTATGAACATGTGCGAAGAGACGAAAATCCAGAGGAAATATGGGACATAATTGGTGAACTGGGAGATGGGGCCTTTGGAAAAGTGTTCAAGGTGGGTAACGTCTTCTCTGGGCTGCTCTGTGTAAGGCCTTTCTTCTTTGTGAGTTATTGTGGCAAAAGGGGCCAGAATGTGAGCCCATTGTTACTTAATAGTCCTGTTTTTGAGGACTGACACAACGTGAAAGCAGTGCTACAGCAATCCTGTATTGCTTTGACCCACCCACTATCTTCAAACAAATAGACCAGCTCTGCCACAGAGGTGGTGGGGTCAAATATGACTGCTGAGATCTCTTTTATGCTTGTCTGACCTATTCAATTCAAAGTCTCTTTTAACATGAAAGCTCCAGGAAGAAATTCACTGTGGAGTCAAAATAGTCAGTGAACAAAAGATGTGAACAAAAATCTTGAGAAACCCACAATATGAAAGAAGTTAAATAATCAATATGAAATGCTGAAATCACCTGCCCATCTTTGTGTTTACATGTGACAGCCTGGGCTGTGCTGTGTCAATAAGAAAATGAAGTGGAAGAAAGAAGACTGCTTTCATTAACAAACAACTAACAAATATTTAAAACACACTTTAAACTATGGGAGTAAATCATCATGACGTACCAATTGATAATGTTTTTAAACCATTGCAAACTTTTTTTGCATTATGTGTTTTGAAAGAAAAGTTTTCATAACAGCACCTACTGGAAAACATTTCTACCAATGTACTGCATCTGTGAACAGTGTTGGCCAAGACTTGACTGTTAGTTTCAAAAGTTTTGGTGATATATGTATCAGCAAATAACAACTGAAATAATCATTATACGAGTAGATAGAAAAACTTTGTCTGATGTGCAAGGCTAATAAATTGGTGCAATAATAATGCACATTCTATGGTAGTATAAGCCCAATTTAAACATCTACATTCATCATGGATGGTAAAATCAACGGTTGTAGGTGTTGTATTGTGGTTTCTTCAAGTCAAGTAGGTCATCATAATGAATGTTGAAGGTAAATTCTAGCACAGGCGAATTTCAGTGTTTTCCACAATGAAAATAAGGTGTGTCTGACTATCAGAAATTATGAGTTTGAAAATTTTGGCATGCTTGGCATTTGTAAAATTCAATATTTTGCAGTCCCACATATAAGAGGTATCTAAAAGGCACTAGATGTTGAAGTGGAGATTTAACCAAAGTTTGCCTCAACTGAAATATTTTCGTATTTTGCAGTCAAGAGCAAAATGGTCCCGAACTTCTTTCAAATTGACCATATAACTCTATCATGATATTTTCAGATGGCTGACCTGGCATCAAAGCAGCCCTCTTGTCATCATTTTAATAGTCCCATTGTTTGGTTTGGCCCCATTGCAACCAGGGTCTAGATAGAAGCTAGAAGCTTTATTTGCATGAGTGACAGTCAATTTTATCAGGCAGGAGGGCTCTACCATCTCTGAAACAAGGAGGTCCGGGGTTCACAAACACAACTTACGTGCTTTTTTATGCTCTCTGTTGCCAAAGAGTATTTTTAGACGCTTTGTGTCATACCTAAATTAATCCAAATCTGCTGGGACAATGATTTAGTCACAGGTTGCCAGTTTCCCAAGAATACCGAGAGCAAGGTTCACATGAGATGGACCAAGTGTTCTCAAATGTCAAATACTGAGCACATACTATACGTTTTTATCAGTGTTGTGGCGGAAAGTGCTCTCACATCATAAAGTGAATCATTTACAACCTGAAACTCTCAGTTTATGTGCTGAAGCAGATAAACTGTGTGTTAGCACTGTACGTGTAAAATCTGGAGAGAGCTTTGACAACTGTAAATAATGTTTCTTCTGAAACCTACAGAAGTTAAAGTCAGAGAATACCTCTTTGATCATAAACATTCTGTAGAATAATCACATTTCTGACATGACAACAAATGCTAGATGAGTTGAAGTTTTGTAAAAGTGTAACTTATGGTAGAGATATGGCTGGTCATTGTTGATATATGTATATTTAAGCAGTGTGTATCTTGCAGTGTGTTGCGATGGTGCTTTTTGGACACTGCCTGCCACTTCATGCAGCTGCAATCAGGAAAAAAAAGAACATGATACAGATCTCTTTTTCTTTACTGCTCTTGAACAGTGGTTATATGTGCCAGCTTTGATGTGTTTATGATAGCAGGGCCACACAATATGCTTTGTAGGCAGCAGTGTTGTTTTTTTTCCACGACGATGACGTTACGATGACGAGCCAAACATAAGTCTTACATGACTAAAATGTGACGAGACGAATGTACGTTTGTGTTGACGAGACAAGACTAGAGGAAAATGTTAGTGGTGGACTACGTACGGAGTTGCAAAATTCATGAGCATTTTGCCAGTCAAATGCTAAACATATATTCTGCAGTGTTGTTAACGTCATTGTCAACGATAACAACACTGGTAGGCAGCTACTGTTTTAGAGCCACAAAGAAAAGATCTTTTTCAGATGCAAAAAGTTGGTTTTTGGAGGGTTGGGTGAAGACAGGCTAATGTACAGATCCCAAATGACACGTATGAGGCTTTTCTGTAGACTTCTTAAGTACTAGTAACTGTATCAGAACAACTCCACTGTTCAAGAGAAGAACAACAGATCTGGTATCATCATTCTTTCATAAAAGCAGTAGTTCATGTTTGTCCTGTACTTAAGCTGAGGAGGAGCCACAAATAGTAAATTACAGGTTTTTGTTTATATGCTACGTGGACCAAACCAGCTGTGAAGTCAAGCTATTCTGATACATCAGTGCAACAACAGCCCAATCTCAGTGGATTTATGGTGGTGTACAAGCTGTATGTATTAGTACTGAGGAGGTTGTAATGGGGGTGGTGCTTTTCTAAATGTAGTGTATGGCTGACCCCGGTGCTCAGGCAGGTCACCAGGAAGTGGCTGCATCCCATTTCACAGCAGCAACTTCATTGAGCACATCCTGCCTGCGGAGGAGCCAAAACAAACAGGAGAAATTTCCACTTTAGGAAGACATGCTCATGTTCTGCTGACTTATTTAGACTTGCAGCAAAGCTGACACTGTTTATATGATGTTTTTAGAGTCTCCTACGGGCAGTTTCAGTTTTCATTTGAGGTCACAGGTCAAGATAGCCAAAAGGCCAACACAACCAAGTTTGACCTTTTGTAAGTCTTTTAGATAAGTCTTTTTGCCTCAGTCAACTCATAGTTCTAATGTCCTGTATTTTGACAAATCAGCTGAAACAGTTAAGGGAAAAAAACAAACACACTCTGTTGTTGTCTAGATTATTGTTCAAGACAAGCAAGACTTCTGACTCCAAACTGATGAACTGCCTAAATCCGCTGTCCATTCTGCGGTCTAATAATATTTTCGTCCCACAGGCTCAAAACAAACAGACAGGCGTCCTTGCTGCAGCCAAAGTTATTGACACAAAGACTGAAGAGGAGTTGGAGGACTACATGGTGGAGATTGACATCCTTGCCTCCTGTGACCACCAAAACATTGTCAAACTGCTCGACGCTTTCTATTATGAGAGCAAACTCTGGGTGAGTACAATAAAGAACTCTCTGGAGTTACAAAGTCAACAGTTTTTCTTCTCTACAACCCCCCAAGCAGAGGCAATCATGCCCACTAACAGCATTTTGAAAAAGTAAAAAAAAAACATCTTAAAGCACAAATTAGGAATAACATATAGTTATGGCGTCTAATTTTTTTAATGACTGCAGCTTTTTCAGCCTCAAATTTGATCAAAACAGAAACTGAATGTGTTTGAAATGAAAAATACAAAAAAAATCACAGAGAATATAACGCTTCACTGAGTCATTTTGTGTGAGCTTTTTATTCAGGCTGTCCGTCTAATAGAAATATGGGCTGAGAGTGGGCTTTGACAATAAATGCATTCAATATCACTGTGCTGTTATTTCAAGGTTTTGCAGTTCACACACATTTCTTTGCTGCTGCTGTGCTGTTATCAAAGTGTGAGGCCAAAGTTCATACAAGTAGCAGAAACAAGCAGCTTTCGTGGCTGTTAATCATCATACCTGTTTGTTGCTCAGCCTCTTTTGATGAACTCATTTTTTACTACCTTTTCATTTCATTACACTGTAGCCTTTTAGTCAAGCAAATACACACATATTTGGAAACTGAAATGATTTTGAAACAGCCTCAAGTTTCTGTGCATCACAAACCCTTAAGATCTGGTACATCAGAGTTGTGCTCCAGTGAAAACTGAGCAGTTACATACTGTATGTTGGTAGATATTTGACTTTCACCCTATAAGCAAACCTGAATCTAAAAGTTCAATGTGTGGGAGCATGGGAGGTGTTCATGCATAAATAACCTGCTTGTGTGGGCTCGAACCTCATGGATTACTTTAATTATAGGTTGTTCCAAACAGTAGCTTGAATATCCAGCTCTGCTTCACAAACACATTTTTGCCCTAAACACATATTTAGTAGGGGTGGGAGAAAAAATTGATACAGTATAATAATGCGATATTTTGTCTGGTGATATATCGTATTGTCTCATTGATCAAGTATCGATTTTTTCAAATTAATTGGTAATATGAACTCAATTATATGATAATGAGAAAATAAAATCAACTGTTTGTCTAGTGAGGTTTGCAGAGGAGACATTATAGAGCAAGAGAAAGTTAGTGTAACAAATATAGCAGCCGCTCGGGAGGGACATTAGGAATGCAAGCAGGGCACAAATGCGATGGACCTGACACATAAGGTTTGCAAGACGTGCTACATGAAAATAAAATACTGTGTAAATAAGACAAACATATAGGAAAAACAGCTGAAAAAATTGTATAAATCACAAGATGTTGTATCGCAATACTCACTGCATTGCAAAATGTTAAAAATCGCAATAAAATCGTATCGTGGCTCAAGTATCGTGAAAATATTGTAAAATATTAGTGATTCCCACCCCTAGCATTTAGTTGAGCAAACTTGGCAGAAATGGAATATGATATTGATAAGTGTGTAAAAGAATTAAGAAAAACTTTCAACGTAGTCTTTGTATTAAGTGAGTGGCCAGGTAAATGCATTGGCTGAAAGACGAAAATGATGAATATTTCTACTTCAGCAAGGTAGAAGTCAACTACAGATTTACAGAGATGCTTAGAATGAGCTGTAAAAAAAGATAAAGGTTATTGGAGCACATAAAAACAGACAAGGAATACAGACACCATACAAAGTCTAATGTGGGGAAGGCAATTCCATCCTCAAGTCACAGAGTTTTTTATAACCAGGGCAAACCATGAATCTAGTGACTATCATATGAGTCAGTGCACAAATATCTAAAAAGATAGTCAGTCATTATGAACTCCCATGATTACCTGTGCATTGAATTCAGCACATTTCATTGAGCGCTCAGCCCTTTTCCTCCTCATTGTTCCCTGAACAATAGCTTCAGTTGAATGGAGGCTGTCTGTTGATTTTTATCTCGGCCTGTGTGTGCAGCACCTGCTCGTGCAAAGTAGAGACAAAGTCATTATATATGAAGAGCCGAGAGTGTTTCTTAGACATTTCCTCTTCGAAATGAAAGACTTTTCCACACTGTCATGACAGAGTGTGGGAAATCTAACCATCCTGAGCTGTGACTCCCATTGCTGCTAATATTTTTATCCATTAAATCACATGAAGGTGATATCTTGTCCACTCTCATTTCTTTTCCCTCTTACATGAGTGCACAACTGTCTATACCAGTGGTTCTCAATCCAGTCCTCGAGCCCCCACTGTCCTGCATGTTTTTGATGTTTCCCTGTTCCAACACACCTGATTCAAATGATCAGCTCGTTATCAAGCTCTGTAATGGCTTAATAACGAGCTCATCATTTGAATCAGGTGTGTCGGAGCAGGGAAACATCCAAAACATGCAGGACAGGGGGGGCTCGAGGACTGGCTTGAGAACCACTGGTCTATACACTGGTATATGTAGGTGTGTGAAATAAACAAGAGGGAGAGGAAGCTGCAGCCCTGGCCTGAGGTTCCTCCCTGCCTCCTGCCACTCTGAAAGACCACTGTGAGGACCATTGTACAACAGCAGGGCCGCTAAAACAACAGTACGCCCACAGTGAAACACTAGAATGGCGTGCGTGTTGAATAGGCAAGACGGAGACTTGAGCAATTGTATGTCTTGTAAGGGCTTTGTTGTTGTAAGTGGAACAGTCTTGAAAACCTCAACTGAACAATAGAATACCACAAAACCTCTGGGAAAGAATCATGTTTTAGGGGAAAAATAACTTTTTTAAGTTGCATTACTTTTCAATTTCAATACATATGACACAAATCTGGGCCTCAACTCTTCTCAATCTCAATCAGTTTGTCAGTGTTACAAAATTGTAAAGCTGCAGTTTTACCTTCTCTTCCTGGAGATTTGATATTTCTTAATTTTTTATCCTATCCTCAGTGAGATCAAAGCCCCCTACAGTTTTGACATGCATTTGATTGTGGATTAATATTAATTGCCTGTTAAAAACCCTACGGTTTCACTCTTGCTAAATTTGGAAGCTGAGTTGCATACAGAGGCAAAGACAGTGTTGCATTTAATATGAAGAGCAGTGATTTATTATATGGATGCTTCTTGTTGTGCTTGATGTTGAATGAGATGATTCTGCATTAAAGCAGGTTAAAAAAAAAGAGAAATTCTTGGGCCAGCCCTGGCAAAGTCTGTTTTTGACTCTTATTCACTGGTATAGTCACTTTAAAGATTAAAGATTAGATTGGATTAGATAGAACTTCACTGATCCTTTTGGGAAGGTTCCCTGAAGAATCTGAAACTTGAACTATCTCTACTTATACAATCGCTGTCTGATATTACAGAGAATACACTTTTTTTGCACCAGTTGTGCATGGCCTTTTTTTTTTTTTTTTACACTAACACCTCATTCAGTGTCAATACTGTACACTGCATAGCTCTTTGATGGATTCTCTGTATGGAACAGGACTTCAAATTTTAGGTCTTAAATAACACATTTGCATTATCTTGCCTGCTCCAGCTTTGTGTAAATCTATGTTTCCAAATTTACACAAACTTAGCACAACTGTGTTAGGTCCATAGACCGAAGACCTAAAAAAAATGAACATTCGCAGTTTCTGTTTTTGCCTGTGATCCACCAAATCTGTGTGCTTCATAAGTAGAAAGTAAAAAAAAAAAAAGATACAGAAGCCTCTATTTGAAAGCCTTTTGTTTGTAAATTACTGTGTCCCTGTAATGCACCACAGATCCATTTTTTATGGTGTCCTTATGTACTGAGATGAGTAAAATAGACGGTGGCATTGAAAAGATTTGGTTGAAAAGGTTTTCAAATGTCAGACTGTTGTGTTCTGCTTTTTTGAAAGCATGTTTGAAAAGATTGACAAAAAAGGGGGCTATGTTTATGAGTACAACAAATCACAGGCAATGTTCAGATTCATGAAGATGCATATAGAATCAGGGATTAGAAAAAATAATAATACAAAGGTCTATACAATATGTTCCTCCCCTCTTGTAAATGCAAGTTTTTCAAGGACTAGCTTGAAATTACCAGATACAAAGCCTGGCAACATATCATCATATAGTTTGAATGTAACATGCCAACACTAGAGATAGCATTATGTGACAAGGCTCGGCTTCTATCTGTAATCCTAAAGCTCCATAAATACACTTCATTGCATGATCATGCACACTAGTTTCCTGCCGACAAACAGGTCTCTGAGGTGTCCTGGTTGTGTAGCCATAAGTTGTATAATTGAATTTATGAATATGGATAAAGCTTTTTTCAGATTTCCTGAAATCTGAACATGCTTCCTCCTGTTATCCAATAGAAACAAAGCCATTGTAATAAAGTGATAATGTTATCAAGGTTTCTTAACCGTCTCTGTTGTGGCAGTGACTAAGATGGTGAGAAATCAGGAAACAGTTACATACAGACAATCAGAGGCTGTGCTCATGGCAGCATTGAATATAAAGATAGGAATAATCTGATTTTCATGTGTTTTATGTTAACATCTTACCTAGATTATGATGATAACTAGGAAAAGCTAAAACTGGGATGCCAAAAAGCATACTAACAGACACTCAGCTCTCGATGCTCTGCCCTATAAACCACTATAACCATTCCCACTTCTGCCCGGAGGTGCTGCGTCCATAAAATCTTTAATCCTATTTAAAGAATAAGGCCTCAGGTCTGGCAGTATAGCTAGCTAGCCAGCCAGCGAGCTAGCAGCTGTGGAACCTTTTCCACAATGTGGCCTCAACCGGGCCAATCCTCTTACATCAACATCCATGTTGAAAGCTTCTATAAATGCCTTTGAGGGCTCAGAGTGTTTCATTCGCACAGGCTGGATGGGGGTTAATTCTCAAATTGCCTAGGCTCAGTGAAAACGTGATGATGTTGACTTTGTAGGTGTTGAGTACGTAATCATAAACAGTGAATGTTCCAGCAGCTGTATGCATGTAGGCAAAAAAACATTGCCATGTGGATCTGAGAACCTTCCAGAGCCTCACAATAGGTTCAAGCTGGGTGCTCGTTCCAAGAGGGCCTGCTGTCACTACGAGTGTGTTATAGTTATTAAAAAAAAATGATATCCTGGTAACTTGGAGGATTTTGCTGATTATGACAATTTACAATAAAAAACATCAAAAATTATGTTAAACAAAAATGTGTTGGTGAAAGTCAGGTATTGCACCAGCTTTCTATTGTTAATTTATTGTTAATATTGTCAAAAATATATTTTTTTACTCATTAACTTAAATTATTGTCATTAGAGATAATACAATACAAAAACACTGAATTCAACAAAGCAAGTTTTGGGATCAAACAGTAGAAACCGTTTCAAAGTGGTCTTCAAGATCTACTTTGTGCAATAAGACAATAATACTACAATAAGACAAAGACTGAAAAAACAAGTAAAAGAGCATTTTAAAATGACACTTTGTTGGCTGATGACTCTGCCTAGGTTTGCATAGTACGTTTTGTTTGTACATTTTATTATTTTGGCACCTAAACTTTCAGTCGTGGTCAAGCATTGAGTCCCAAAGCTTTTCATATGCTGTGTGGTGGTTGATTGGCAGATGGTGAAACAAGTGAGTTATCCAACTGTCTTGATGGCAACCACTTTTAGTCTGTAGATTGGTGTCCTTAAGCCACCTCTGAACCACATCGTTGTACGTGAGGATGATCCATGCCAAGTAATTAAAACTGATGACAGCTGGTGTTGGTTTTGTTTGGTATTCTGGCTCTGTTTTTTCACTTATTTTATCTTCAGTAAGTTGTAAACACTACGTGTGTTTTTGATGTAAATGCATAGAGCAAAAGCCTGGCCTGATCATATTCAGTGAATTCAGCTGACTCTCAAGGTGTGTGTCGATTGTTGAGTGACATACTTTAAGTTGTGTCTGCGTGTTGTTAAAAAAGAAATATTTTGTTATCTCAAGATACTATTCAGTAAGTCACACACTCGGCTATCAACAGATTAAATTAATTTTGTGGCACATCCTCAAGCTTATTTCCGAATAAGTTTTCATGTCAAATTTAGCTTTAATTTGAAGCCAATTAAATCAACAGCAGTCTTGTTTACAGAAACAAACAAAGTGTTTAGCCTGAAAAAATCCTACATGAAACATAATCTGTGTATGCTGAATTCATGTGCAAAAAATGCCTCTTTAACCCAAATATTGTCAAAACCCACTTGTCAAAACCAAAGAATGCTTTAAGCACTTACTCGGTTTATCCAATTTTAACAACTTGTTTACACACAATGCTTTACTGCTTTACATGTCCGTGCTTTGCTCTGACCAGCATGCTTTACATCATGGTTGTTACTGATTTAACATCTGTATGTCCTTTATACATTTACTGACTGATGTATGAAAACAGTCTTTCAAATTTGGAATATTATAAAAACAACGCTTTTGTAAATTGTGACACCTCTGTGTCTGATTGTGTTCTCTTTTTCCCCGTTGTTGGCAGATCCTCATTGAGTTCTGTGCAGGAGGGGCTGTGGATGCAGTCATGCTAGGTGAGTCAGCATTTACACTTTGCATGCAGGTTGTTATTTGGTGCAGCAGCAAACAGCAAAGTGGAAATGAATCTACCAAATTCTCTTGCGGACCACCCGCATATGACATACTTCAGTCATCAATCCACCAAGTGCAGCTGAACCCTTATTACCATCTATGATTAGGCTGCATTAGTGAATTCCTGGTTCAAGAATGCCAAGCATGTGTTTGTGTGACCCTCGTCCCCCTGCAGAACTGGAGAGACCCCTGACAGAGCCTCAGATCAGGGTGGTGTGTAAGCAGACTCTGCAGGCTCTTGTCTACCTCCATGATAACAACATCATCCACAGGGACCTGAAGGCTGGAAACATCCTCCTCACGCTGGACGGTGACGTCAAGCTGGGTAAGGGCAAAGTCATATCCTGCTGTTGACACCAGCAGCTACATCCTGCCTCTCAGGCTCATTAGTGACAGGAGTGTGGCATTAAAACTACCTTCAGCATGGATCGTTATGAAATCAGTAACAGCTTGATATGAATAGATCTTTAATGTTATGAAACAGCAGAAAGAACTCGACAGCTGCAATGACTAATGTCTGAATGTGCAAGGTGTCGATTTATAAATCTCAGTCATTGAATCTTTTCCCTTTGAACCAAAATAAAAGACTTTAGCCATTTAGTGTCTCAAAGTCCAGAGAGAAAAAAATCGGAGCTGCTGTGCTCCCAGCGCCTGCAGCCCCTTTCTAGAGAGCTTTGAAGAAACATAGATCTCACCGCTGTTGTAATCACGAGGCCCATTTGTCCTGAGGAAGAAACATCTATGACAATTTTATCTGTGGGCGGAAAACTTGCAACTGAGACCTTGAACTGGACCTCATTAATAATCAGCAGCTCAATCTGTAGACTTTCCTGCAACTTGTATCTGCAGAACAGGGTTGGAAAAGCCTTTATTTGTATTCACTTATTATCTATGATCACAGAGAAAATGTAACACAGATATAAAATGTGATAGTGCAGGGCTTGAAACAAACTTTTTTCCCCAAGTAGAACATGTGCCCCTAAGTTGAAAAAGTAAGGAGTACACAAAGAACACAAAGGGCACAATGAAAATGGATCAGATAACGTGTGTTTTATTGTCCGACCTTAGTACTCTTATTTGAAGTCAATTTTAGGTCAACTGGTCACATCAACCAGTAATTTATTGATGGTCCCTTATTCAACACCTGACGTTGACAGCGAGGAGGGCGCCGAGTAGATTTAACCTCGCTGCTGTTGTTGTTCCCAGTTATGGAGAGTGAAAACGCACTGGCAGATCCGCAGTTAATGTCAGTCAGATATTCAACCTAAAACTAACACCACTGCAGTATTTACATGAAAAAACATTTGTTGCCTCAGCTGATATTTTTTATGCATACGTGCCCCTACATACATTTTACAATTCGCACACATCTATTTTTAGTCACACATGCTACAGTGGTTGCACTGTCGATCCCTGGATCACAACTAAACTAAAGCACATGTTAACAAACTCTATACCTTAATGTAGCTAATAAACTGTCAAGCCTTTTCAGACAGCGATCATCACAAGATATCATCAGACTGGCAGCTTTATTAAATGATGGTTTCTGCAAAAATAATAATAATAAAAAAAAGAATTAAAAACATATTACTCAGACCTAGTTGTTACGGAAACTGACCCAACCTTTCAGGGTTAATATCCAGATTGTATTTGATAAATCCCTGAGTCTGTCATGCCTTAACCAGAGTTGTTGTAAGATAAGTGGATGGAAATGCAATCCGTGTCATCAGGTACCAACAAATGTGTTTGAGAAAGTTGAGAGCACTGCGGAAATATTTCACCTTACAATTTCATGTTTGATAGCTCAGTTAAACAATTATTTTATTTTTCATAAATTAGTTCAGTGAGGGGTTGTCACAGAACCAGAATTTCAATTTGATACAATAACAGTAATAATGAAAAACACTCATACTTTTTTTTATATCAAGGCAATAAAATTAAACAAAGGGCAGCATTCGACAAAGTGTTTAAAAAAAAAAAGAAAACAATTGAGATCATTCATAAAAATAATAGGTGCAAGATCTAATATTTTTCATAAGCATCGGTGCTTTTTGATTCTGTCAAAACAAGATTTTTTTCCTTTGAAACCATGTGGTAGACTACAGAGATGAAGGGCAGGCGCCTCTGGCCAAACAATCAATCAAGCAATCAATATTTATCCTATGATTTTTTTTGTGTTATCTTAAGTTGTTATTCATCATTCACACTCTAAAAAGACCTTGTGGTGTTGTAGCTCAGAAAAAGAAAACAATTTTACCCCCTTGAAGTTTGTCTGCACTGGTATTTTTGCTCTTTCTATGTAAGAAGCTTAGAAAAATTCACATGACCCTTGTCATGACATCAAACTTCATGGATGTAAAAACAGTCATAAGGAGGAATCTTGTGCTGTTTTGCTCATGATTGAAATTCTTTACAGGGTTTTGTGAGGAGGAAGGGAACAGTAACAGTAAAATGTGTCATTTAGACCAACCTGACTCCATAAAACTGTTGAAAGTTGAATTCCTGTCAGCAGCAAATACAGAATAGTGAGAGTGCAAAATACAAAAAAACACTTAATGGGATAACAATAAAACAAAATTATCAGCCACATGGGTCCTGTCTGGGAAAGTGGAGTGGGTATCAGTGTTTGCAGGCATATCCTGCTTTGAAATAGTGTTAATGTAACGCTTAAAAATGTGTGAAGAGGTTTTTGCTGGAATGCAGACTTTAGTGTAGGCATGAGGAAAAGATCTGTAACCATAGCTGGTCATGCAGTGGTGAAATTGAACTATGGATGTTTTAAGTAACTGTTAAAAGAGTGTGATCATTCGGATCTTAAATTAAATATACATGAAGTCACTTGTGAAGCTGGGAGAGCCATGGCATTAGAGCGGGAAAACGCAGTGCAGAGTGGGTCCAGTTGAGCTTACGGTTTTCTGTGATGCTCCAGAAATCTGACACAGAAGCCATGTTCAGTAGAAATATTGGGTGTTTTTTTTTCACCAGTGGCAGGTAAAGAGTTAAGATTGGTTTATTTTTTATGATTTCTAAGATTTATGGAGGTGTATTTACAGTGATATATCAAATGCTGAATCCAGAGAATGTAAACTAAATGCTGTGAGAGAGTAAAAGTTCCCAAGACAAGTTGTAGCCTTAGTTAAAACTTGGTCCACACTGCCTTATCATCTTTGAAAAACAGTCGTCTTAAATAACCTTCACTTAGTCAACCCTCCATCTCAACTCTGCTTAAACGTAAAGGCCTGATGATGTGGGTTACATGGTCAGACACATAGACTGGATGGGCATGCTTGTGTAGTGCACATAGGCGCACACATACAGGAAACTGTTCTCAGGCACACAACTCTTATGCTCCAAGGAACTTTTAATGCTCATGCACAGAAGAATAGCTTGATCGCTAGCTTTACTCTTCCATGAAAGACACCAGTGGTATCCTAAAATGCAGAAATTTGCTCACACAGACACAAAGGTCTGCAAGGCCTAGTAGTGTCGAACCAATCACTGCAGTTCAAGAAAGATGTTTGTTTTCCTCCAGGAAGAGTTGCATGATAAGAGAGTGCCATGTCAGAGAAGGGTCCGGCTTAAATGCTAGAAAAAAAGAGAAAACAGTAATGTTTCATTTTAAGGGCTCAATGACACAGAAGTAGTATCAGTCTTTGTCTCTTTTTAAAGTACCGTGGTGTCCACCAGATTCGGTTATTGAGTGTGTCGGTAAGCATGAAAAATCCGATGGGCCACAGCAACATGCTTTCATTTTTTTAAGGAAGAGTATTTTACAGGAAACTTTATATCGTCTGATTCCGAAAACTCGTACTGTTGATTAGCCGTTGCGGCTTCAAAATATGAACTCGTCTTGAGCTTCTCTTCAGTTTGTACACAAACGCTTGTTCACAGCAGATGCAGTTATGTCGCTTACTTAGAGAGATGTGAGTCACTGTTGGTGGATGTAACAGGCTCAGAGCGATAACACACAACGAACAGGCTGTCCAGTGACAGAACACAACACACAGAGGTGCTTGTGCACATGCCTGTGAGGATAATAATGAGGCGTTGCTCATATGTGATGCATCCAAAACATGATGTCATTGAGAAGCATGAAACATACAGTTTCTGGGGCTGTGTTTTCAGATCATACTCAACCCTTCCTGCTTTGAAAACCTTTTATTAATTTTTAGAGTAAAGGTTTAATTATTTATTTTTTGTGTGTGTGTGGCTTCATTCTTGTTCATTCTTGAAGTAAATGGTGACAGTGGTGGTTCGATGGCTGATTCCTGTGTTTCTCGAATCACATGTCTTTCAGCTGACTTTGGTGTGTCTGCCAAAAACACCAAAACACTGCAGAGAAGAGATTCTTTCATTGGGACGCCCTACTGGTGAGTGGAATACCCTGAAAACAAATTTCATGATCAATAGATATTTTTCCAGACTTCTTTTCAAAGAAAAACACAAATTTGTTCTGTGATCAGATTCGCTTTTTGGCTCTCTTAAACACAACCAAATCAATTCCCATGAACTTCAGACCTCTTTTCTCTCTTTCTTTCCAGGATGGCTCCAGAGGTGGTGATGTGCGAGACGTCAAAGGACCGTCCGTATGACTACAAAGCTGATATCTGGTCCCTGGGAATCACCTTGATTGAATTGGCACAGATTGAGCCACCCAATCACGAGATGAACCCCATGCGAGTTTTGCTGAAAATAGCCAAAGCAGATCCTCCAACCCTTATGCAGCCGTCACGCTGGTGAGTCATGACATAGAGCTGTTCAGGAACATCAAAACCCAGTCGAGCCCCTGGTAGGGATGGTCATGCATTGGTTTTTCTTGTTCAACCAAACGGGCTCTCTTTATTGTTTGCCAAAGCTTTTTTCATCAGCATTTAAGACAGGCTGACATCATGAGATATAGCCAAAACGAATTTTTAAATTTTTGCACACGAGTGACATAAGACACATGTCTGTTTTTACCACTTTATCCTTGAAGGTCCCCAGAATTCAGTGATTTCCTGAGGCGATGTCTGGACAAGCATGTGGACAACAGATGGGGGGCTGCACAGCTACTACAGGTACTTGCTCATTTGCAACTTTGCAAATGTTTGTTACATCATTTCTGTCGCTCTGAACCCAGTGTTTGCAAGATGTTGCACTCGTTCTGTAAAGCATCATGAGTTAGATCTTTGTGTAAAAGTCGCTATACAAATGAATATATCAGCCTCCTTGGGGGAACTGTTCCGGAGTATTAACCACCAGATAATTATATTTGGTGAACTATTTTGTTTTGCATCATTTTAACCGGTTCCAGAGAACAGCCTCGTATACCAGTGATGAATGAGACAATTTCTCCTCCTTTAACTCTTTGTGTACTTGTCTCTGCTGTTTTCTGAATGATTTAGTAAAGGTTTCTACAGAGAGAGAGAGAGAAACAGAAGGGAATAGAGAAGTCAGTACATCAATAATCTTCTATTGATGATACACAGATATTTTGATTTGTTTCACCAAGTCTGATCAGTTGTGTTTTCAACTGTGCCAGATTTGCAGTCAAGGGCAATGAAGTGGGCCTGACATTTTCAGCTGCACTTAAAACAGTTTTTTTTTTTTTTTTCAAACTTGAAATAAATGCAAATGAATTATTTCACAGTAGAAGTGAAAGACTTATTTGGTAGAGGCACGCAAAAGTGCGTGAACACCATTAAATGCTATCAGTGCATGTATTCACTTCTTTACAACAGTCAGCATGTATTTTCTCACTATTCTGAGGGTGACAGACTGCTTCTTCTTGTTGATATCCATTACCCATGGAGTGGAGCTGCTGTGGCTCTGGTTTGAGCTGTTCAGGACTAAATCAGGCTGATATGTCTCCGTTCAAAAGCTACAGATAAACTCTGTATTTTGGCCTCCCTGTCCCACATTCCCTTGTGAAAGTTGCAGCAGAAAGTCATTTGTTTTTCAAATTGATGCCTCTGACTGTTGTATTCACAAATTTCTGCTATGCTGTTGTTGCAAATCAGGCACAATGGTTTTCCATTTGGAGTTGTAAAGTAAATAACTACTCTGCCCTCCAGGCAGGGCTAAACTGTCGCATTAGTGTGAACAACAACATTTGGTAACACATTATTTGACACCTATCTCTATAACGCATTATAAATATCTGTATAATGCTTTAAGATCAGGCAATAGCACTGTATACTTTGCATTATTTATGTGGGCATTGTCAGTGAGTTGTTAACAGTTATAACACATTATAATACCTGATGTTGTAAAGTCATGATAAAATGCTTTATAATGTGTTACGATTATTGCTATAAAGCGGTGGTTCTCAAGTCCAGTCCTCGAGGCCCACTGTCCTCCATGTTTTGGATGTTTCCCTGCTCCAACACACCTGATTCAAATGATCAGCTCGTTATCAAGCTCTGTACCGGCTTAATAACGAGCTGATCATTTGAATCAGGTGTGTTGGAGCAGGGAAACATCCAAAACATTCAGGACAGCGGGCCTCAAGGACTGGACTTGAGAACCACTGCTATAAAGCATTATGATCATTTATTAGTGTTTGTGTTAGTCGTTATACAGTGCTTTAACGTGATTATAACGCATTATAAATATATTTATAATGTTTAGTAGAGAGAGGCATCAAATAAGATGTTACCCAACATTTTTTAAAAGCTAGGCTATGAAGCATGGTCATGCTCGTTTGAACAGGACTGCTTTTTTGAGCTTCCTGTGCATGTGCAGGTCTTTCCAAGGACAGAAGTATGAGGTAGAAGAGTCAGTATCAAGCTACTTTTGTGCACACTGTATGCTGTTCAATAGTTTTTTCATGTAAAGGATTCACATGCACTGGAGGAGTCTGGGCCACTTTTTACACTCTTGTTCTGTGAGTTGGTGTAGCTGTTATTTCCTACGTTGGTTTGAATGTTTCTGGTAGGCTATGTTATGCAATTTTGTAAAACAGAGGAACAGAATTTAAAACCACACAAATAATGAATGTTTTTGGGCTGTTAAATATTACGAAATACAAAAAAAATTGGTTTATGGAACAGAAAGAAACAGAAAAGGGAGGGCCAGGGAGTGTGCATGCAGCGAGAGACCAGAGGTGGAGGTGTGCGTGAGTGGAGAACTGGAGCAGGGTGAGCAGATTATGTAGTTAGTCAACACCAAAATAAAGTGTAAAGGAGGAGCCAAACGGTGAAGTTAGACTGAATTGATCAAAAATAGAGTAGGGTCATCTCTCATGTTCTGCTGTAACAGTTAGCTACTGTAAGTTTTACGCTGATTTAACACTGAATCTTTGTTTCACAACGCCTCAGTGCTCCAAGTTTAGCAGCTGGTCACAGAAATGATATGATAATCCTCATTACCCATCCCACACCCATGTACCACCTGTCATGCAGAGAATACTCGTTCCTGGATGACATCTGTTTACCTGCTCGCTGTGGGTTTGTATTGGGCACTGTAGCATGTGTCCCAACAAGATTGACACTCATCCCTCTGTGCAGAAGCTGACGTCAGCTCTACAGGCTTTTCTTTTTCCATTGGCTTTAAGGAGCTCCCTAGGTCAGAGCCACTTATTTACAGAGAGGCAGTGAGGACACGCACTAACACACGAATTACCACACAGCGCCACAGCTAAAGGGTTGTGCTCGAGGAAGAAGAGTCAATGGGTTTGAAAATACAACCCAGCGATCTGCCCACGATGAAGGTTTTGATATCTAAGAAGCTGCACATACTCAGGCCAGCGATCGAGTACGTTCAACAGATCTCTAAGCCAAAAAAGGTGAGGCTGTGGAAGAGATGGAAAGATAGTGTGTTTGGTGTTATCTCAGGTGAGATTGTCTAGAGATGAAGATGCTGAGTGTGTTTGGTGTTATCTCAGGTGAAAGTCAAGGTGTTGATTGACTAATAGCTTGATTTATTTGTTTGTATTGTTTTGGAAGGGGTTCAGGTTGGGGTTACAGCTCCAGAGAAAACAGAGTGAAAGAAGGATGCAGGAAAGAAATAAGAAAGTCTGGACTTGTGTTTAATTTTTAAAGGTTTTTTCGCTTTATCTTGTCTTATCTTGTTAAAAATAGTCAAAGTCTGTCTGTCTTGGAGTAATTTATACCTCAAAATCTGAGGGATTAGCGCTCAGGCTTTACTGCCAAAGAAGTCAACCAGGTGAAAGTCAAGTTTACCCTAAGTTATGCTTGGCACTTGGCGTAAAGAAATCTTGTTTTCTAACCAAGTGGTGTCATGTTATATATCTTTTTTCACAGCATTCGTTCCTGTCCAGTGTTATAGACAGCAGGCCGCTGAGGGAGCTTATAGCTGAGGCGAAGGCTGAGGTCACCGAGGAGATCGAGGAGCACAAAGAAGAGGAAGAAGAAGAAGAGACAGAGGCACATCTGGTGTGTAAACATGAATATGAACTCGTTTGGAAACAAGTTTTCCTCGTTTTATTTAAACTTTTGAACAGGCCATTAAGCAAAACATACTTATTTTACATAACGGCAACTTTTCAGCTGACAGAAACTTGAGCTCCACATTTGTACCTTTACACAGAAACCTGCTGAAATAATAGTCAGGCCATGAAGCAACTGCCTCACTTATCAAAATAAATAAAATCTTTTTATGATTTTTAACATTCGTCAAAAAAGGTTCTTCTGCTTTCGTGTGTACTATGTGTGCGAAAGGTGTTTTGAATTGTGTTTGTTGGATACCAGAGTTAATATGAACATGCATGTTTTGCAATAATTATAATAGTTTGAAATCAATCAGAGTAGAAAAATGATCCAAATAAATCCTCATTTTAAATCTACAATTGTTCCACACAGCCCTGTTGAATTGTTCATTTAGTAAAAGTCCCTTAAAGATAAAGAATTTTTATCACAGTCTTTTTATATGCACACATTTTGTGTGCGCCCTGACCATCACAGTTAAACTGTCAGGCTTTGATCCAAACTAACTGAAACCAACACTTAGTAGTTTCACAGATCATTAAAAACAACGGTCCTTGGTTAGGTTCAGGGAAAAACCATCACTCCTGTGTTTTAGTCCTGTTACATAAGGACATATATGACAGTATTAAATTCAATATTTGTTTCAGCAGATTGTAGACTAATAAGTTTATTTATCAATATCAGCAGATATGACATTTCCTGCAGATGTAATTATTAGCCAAAAAAGTGATGCATTAATTATCTGCAAATTATACATGTTGGACACATAAAAGTGTTGGTAACAGACAGCAGATGCATAACTTAATATTTACATATGTGAGAAAAAGTAAAACGGGTAACATTTCAAAGAAAACATGTAATATTTCTTCATGTTTCAGCAAGTTGAAAATAAAAGAATAATTATTATCTGAAGATACAGTCAGCTTCCTAAGTTTCCCAAAAAGAGAACTCAAGACTTTGAATAAGGAACACTGTAGTTTGATATAGGCTGATCTGCACCAGCAGCAGACAAAATATGGTGTTTTAGGAATCCTGATGCAGCAAAAGGTATTTTTTATTTTTTTAAATCCACCAGTGAAGAGTAAATTGATGAATTGACTAAAAGCGATGGTAATGAGGTTTGTGCTGCCTTATTGTGTTCTGATGTTTGGAAAAGATAGCATTCCTGACTCCACTCTGTCTCTTTTACCTCTTCCTTCAGGGCCACAAACGTGCCCCCTCTGATGTCAGCGTTGCCAGCTCAGAGGATGAAAAGGTCCCCCTCTCTCCCTCCATTTTGGAATCAGTCCCTGAGAAGGCCGAGCCAATTTTGCCGGGACCCACACCCGCCACGCACCCTGTAGCCAACCATGTGGAAACCAGCTTAGTGGAGGAGCCGGCTGCTCCGTCTTCCCCTGCTGCTGGGAAACACACTCCAGATGAAGACAGAAAGGTCGACCATGAACCAGAAAAGGTTCCAGAAGCAGAAGTGAGCGATGTTGCCTCTGAAGCAGAGATTGAAACAGGGATACCTGCGGAGGACATGCAGAACCTGGAGATAGCAGTTGAGGATGAAAAGGAGTTTGACACAGCTGAGGTTCCAGTCGATCCACCAAGCACCACAGAGGCCACTGAGGCTCCACAGGAAGAAAAGATGGATGTCCCGGAGGAAGAGGAGGACCCTTACAAAAATCTGAAGATGACGCTGACATTACCAGGACAGGACAAAGTTGTCCTCAAAAAGGACGATGAGGGCGAGAAGACAATTCCAGACAAAGCTAGGGATGACAAAGAGAGAGACTCAGACTCAGGGAGTGGCTCTGCTGCTGATAACAGTAGCGTGGACATGAATCTGTCCATCTCAAGCTTTCTGTCCAAGACAAAGGAGCCTGGGTCTGTTTCCATACAGGTAACTCGCCTGTCCTCAAGTATCAAACACTGTATCACATTCTGCATAGCTAAAGGAAATACAATAACCTGTTTTTCCTTGTTTATCTAGGACACCCGACGCCAGAAGAAGACGCTGAAGAAGACACGTAAATTCATGGTGGATGGGGTGGAAGTCAGCGTGACTACATCAAAGATCATCACTGACAATGACACCAAGAACGAGGAGATGAGATTCCTGAGGTATCCGCCTGCTCTTATCAGCGTACACCATGTGCACCAGTTTATGCAAATATTATAAAAATGTCATGCAAATATGTTTCACAGAAACCTTAGCGTACAACCTTACAATGTGGAGTTAATCTTTATACATGCCAAACCTTTTTTCAAACCCTTTATAAAGATTAACTCCTGTGATCTGCGGGATATTAAAGAGACATAACTTAATGAGTCTTACTTTTTTTTCCCTTTACCCCCCCTGTACTCCAGGCGCCAGGAGCTGAGGGAGCTGCGTCTCCTGCAGAAGGAAGAGCAGAGGGCCCAGCAACAGCTTAGCAACAAGCTGCAGCAGCAGAAAGAGCAAATCTACAGGCGATTTGAGCAGGAGACCACAGTGAGTCGCTCAACCCAGAATGTCAATACTAAGAGAGGGTCAAATTTGTATTTTGAAAGTGTCTCCACAGGTGTTTTAGCAACAATTATCAAAGCTCTGCACTCTTTTTAATTCTATACACAAAGGCAATGTGGTGCACATGTATTTAAGGAAACATTCCCTTAATGATATTCCCTCTATTCACTCTTCTTCATATGGGTCCTTTGAGAGATTTTGGTTTCTCTTTCTGTGAATGGGTCTCCATACTATAGTGAGATGAACAAACTAAAATTAGACTCAAAACACTGTCAAAACTCTTGTTTACAATGTCCAATGTGGGAAGTTTTTTTATGACTACCCCAAATTACTAAGATGATTCACACTGGATAAATGTAACAGTATGATCAGAAGACCTCTGCTGACCCAGAATATGATGGATTATCACATGCATGGTCCAGCTTGCAGATTTGGACGTCTGTTGGCTATAATTACACATTAACATAGGTTCCCTGGTGATCCTAATCCTGTTCTTATAGTGCTTTGGACTTTCCTTATTTGGCCTCTATGCAACATCCTTGACATCGACAACTTCTTAAAAGTACTCCTGAGTTTTTACACTGTGAAAAAAGAAAACTGTTCAAATTCAAATTCAGCTTTATTTATATGGCACTTTTCATACAAGAATGTAATTCAGGGTGCCTCACAGGGGCTTAAAACAACAATAAAACCCAACCCTCACACTCATAGACCCCCACACACACAAAGACACACACGGCCACCCTCACCCACACACACAAGCGCACACAGAGCGAGCATTTAAGATATATTGCTAAAGAGGCATGGCTTGACATCAGAACATTTTGGTGAGGAAAGAGCTACCTTTGGGAAACACTGGAGACAAAAATAATTAAGAATAGTAAAAAGAAAGAGTAAAACCTGATGGACTAAGACAAGAAGATAATATAAAATAAACAAATAAGTAAGAGCTCTTTACCATGTAGAAGGGGTAAAAGAAGTAAAAACCTCATTGGAGGGAATCAAGGAAAAGACTCAGAACAGAGCAAAAAAAAAAAATATATATATATATATATATATATATATATATATATATATATATATATATATTAAGGCTGTCAAAGTTAACGCGTTATTGTCGCGTTAACTCGAGTGACTTTTATCGCCACTAATTTTTTTGACGCACGATTAACGCAAGCCTTAGCCTGGCTTGACCAAACTATACACACTGCGTGGATATTCTTGCCGTTGTAGAGGAACAGTTGGTGAGGTGTCCAGGCTATTTGAGCCTCGGGGCACTCCGTAGTTTCGCGAATCAGGAAGTAGTGCACTGACTGATACCGCAGCAGACATAAACAAATCCCCGTGATCAGTAACTAGGATATAATGATAAGAACACTATTTTGCACGGAAATTTCAGCTACAAAGCCTTGCCAGATGGCTCTCTTGACAGGAAAAAAGTCATTTTTGTTTCCTGCCAAGCTGAATTTAGTTTCCACAGGAGTATGTCTAGTCTCAAATATCACTTGTCGGCCAAGCACACAGCTGATGCAGAAAGCCCCGCGCCCCCCTGCCTCTAGCAAACAACGCTGAACGTGCAAGGTAAACAGATGGAGAGCTATACTAAACGCAAACTTGAAACAGCAATCGCTAAATGGGTGGCTACCGCTTGTCAGCCGATTAGCATTGTGCAAGAAATCATACGGATCGCATCCAATGACTGGACATATGAATTACCTTGAAGGACCATCATTACCACGAAAATCCACGATCTGTTCTCATGTTGATTCTCATGTTGATGAAAGTATTACAATTTGAAAAAGATCGATTTAGAATGGATAAAAAATATGCGATCAATTTGCGATTAATCATGATTAATTATGATCAAATTTCGATTAATCACGATTAAATATTTTAATCGATTGACAGCCCTAATATATATATATATATATATATATATATATATATATATATATATATATATATATACCTTCTCATTAAATGCATGTTCTTAATTCTCATTACTATTTAAATTGTAGATTCTCAGTGAAGGCATCAAAACTATGACGGAACACATGAAATCATGTGCTTAAGAAAAAAGTGTGAAATAACTGAAAACATGTTTTATATTTTAGATTCCTCAAAGTAGCCACCCTTTGCTTTTTTGATAGCGCTGCAAACTTTTGCTGTTCTCTCAATGAGCTTCATGAGGTAGTCACCTGAAATGGTTTTTACTTCACAGGTGTGAGAGAGAGAGAGATAGATAGATAGATAGACACACACACATATGTATATATATATGTATATATATATATATATACATAGTAATAGTAAAATAAAATCAGTGAGTTGATAAATACACTCGGACAGCACTTTGTTCTACTAATAAGATTTACCTCTGTGCCTTTTAGAGTAAGAAGCGTCAGTATGACCAGGAGGTGGAGAACCTGGAGCGCCAGCAGAAGCAGACCATCGAGAGGCTGGAGCAGGAGCACACCAACCGGCTCAGGGACGAAGCCAAACGCATCAAAGCTGAGCAGGACAAAGAACTCTCAAAGTACCAGAACATGCTCAAGAACCGCAAGAAAGAGGTTAGCATGCACATAAAAAACATGTTTTACAGCTCACCAGCCGGTCTTTAAGTGGGACAAGATAGCTTTCAAATGTCCTGTTTATCATAGTTGGTTGTTTTGATACTTTTGCACACACATGCCCTTCTGATCTGTCTTATAAGTATTTACGTAACCAGCATTTAGCTGCAGAGGCTTAATTAGTCTGCCTGCCACTTCTCATTTATTTTCTCCAGCAGTGCTAATCTATCCACAGCTTTTGTCCCATTTTATTTCCCTCTATTGCTCATGGCTGCCACAACACAGGCCAAACAGGAAGTGGGAATTTCTCCAAAGCATGTGACAAATGCTATCATGAAACGTATTAAAGAGGATATTATCCAGGCCCCGCAAGAGGAGGTAATCAGGGCTCGGTTTGCTGTGAATTTTGAACTTTGATCCACACGACTTGTTCCTCTCAGTTTTACTCTTTAGTCAGAAAAGACTTCAGACTGTGTGAGGGGAGTATGCAGAGAGTTATTTAACACTTTTATTTATTTGAAATATTTTTATGATTTATCCTCTCTTCTTCAAACCTTCCACCCACATGAGTGTGCAGTGCCCACAGAGTTTTAAGTGAATGTGCAGTGTTTAGTGCCGTGTGTAGGAGGGTAATGTACTGTGATCCACAGGGAGTGGCCCATGTTATGATTCAGTCCTTTCAGTTGTCTTCATGCACCCTGTGCAACGCTCCCATACAGGATGTAAGTGAAACCCCAGCTGGCCTCTTTTTGTGTGTGTGTGTGTGTGTGTGTGTGTGTGTGTGTGTGTGTGTGTGTGTGTGTGTGTGTGTGTGTGTGTGTGTGTGTGTGTGTGTGTGTGTGTGTCATAAAACATATTAGGCTTCTCTTTGAAGTACACACGATATCTTCTTTATACATCAGTGCATTGTGAAGAGGCCAACACCAAACCTCAGGGTATTTTGTTCTTTAGGAATGACGGTTTGCTGCTTCCAAAAGGCTGTGATTTTTGTTGATTTCTCCTTGAGTATCTTCAAAAAGTCAAAAAAGTTTTTAAAAAAAGTTGTATATACACAAAGTTTGGCACTCTGCTTTACATTTTTTTATAATAAAACTAATAACTCAACTTCCATCAGAGTTGGGAAGCTGGTTTACAATGCCTTTATAGCCTTAATTTAATTAAAACAGTTCAATTACAACATATTAAATACTCAAACTAAAAAGATGAATAATTTGATGAAAGACATACTGTATAGTCATTGTGAATTTTATACCACCAGCAGCACATTTCAGGAAATTCAGGTTGGGGTATCTTTATTTTTGTGGTTTTTTCAGTTTAACCTGCTTTTGTGGACACAGCAGCACAAACTGTGTTCACAGGTTGTGGTATTTGGATGTGATTTTGAGCCCATGCACTGATTTCCACTTTGGAGTCTTGTCTGCCTGAGGGCTCTCACATCATGTGCAGAGATTTCTATAAATAACCTGAATCTTTAATTGACATCATGAAGACTCTAGATGATGAAATTTGTATATTCTTCCCAATTTTACTCTCAGAAACATGCAGTTTAGACTTCAGAATAGAATACTTTTTTTTCAATGACCTTACTTTCTTAAATGGGTTGCTGGCGTCAAATTTAAAATGACCATATATTGCATATATTTTCATTGAACTTTTATGTTCAAAATATAAATCATTGTCAGGGCAGGGTGGCAGCTAGTTCCCTTAGAATAAATACATCTTCAGTTGTTTTTCAAAATCTCTGGGTAAGATATTTTTATATGAATCATATCTTGGTTTTTAGAAAAGTGACAGCAGGGATTATCATGGGCTTTTGAGAGTTCTAAAACAACTATAAACTAATAATGTAAGTCCCCGAGAATATCATGACGCATTTAAACATGTCTCAAAACCTTGATAAGTAGCTCCTGTTTGTCTACTTTTTTTTTTTGGCTTTATATCCATCTTGTTACTTTTCAACACTTAGAGACGTGCTAAGGCAGAAACCCTGAAAATGTTTCGTGCAACACAAGTGTGCAAATCAGTAAGTTCCTGTGTGTCATCTGAGCCAAGTAGGTCGGATTATTGTGACAGACTTACAGGTGAAACAGTCTTTATCTCTGGTTGTAAAAGTCTGGTGCATCAGCTCAATCACTGCTTAACCTGACAGGATAAAGTGAAGCATGCAGGCCAGTTAGCAAACTCAGATATTCAGCCCCCCTCCTTACCATACTAACAAGGGTTTGTACAAGTTAAGATGGTTCCTTATAATATGGCCAAGCTGTATCTTGATGAAGGTGAAGTGGTTCTTTAGACATGTTTTTGCCTGAATTTTGAGAGTTGAACATCCAACCATTCACCTGGACTGTGTTTTCTTAATATTTCTGCCTAAATCTTTGGCGTCTTTAATCCAGGAACAGGAGTTTCTTCAAAAGCAGCAGCAGGACCTGGACAGCGCCCTGAAGAAGATTATCCAGCAACACAAACATGAGCTCGCCACTATTGAGAGGGATTGCCTCAACCACAAGCAGCAGCTGCTCCGAGGTATATAGAGTTGAAAAATTGTATGTCGTGCTGCTCCTTTGTGACAGACTCAAAACTGGATAAATACAGTCTGATTCATTCCGATTAGTGTGGATATGATAAAGCAACAAAAAGGTTGGGAATATTCCTTTAAAATGTTTCTAAAAAATAAAGACAAAAAAGCTTCAAACATCTAGATTTTATGATCAATATTGGCTTGAAATTTAATCAGCAATGTTAATGGAGATATAACCATGTGTTCAGCTCACAACATGACACCATTCCAGGATGACGACACCATCTTTTAAGGCTGTTAGCAACCGTCTTGCGTACAAGCTGTCAAGAAAAGATTGCCTCCCTTTTGATGCTGTTATTTTGTCCTTTTAATCCCTTATACCAAAGTCACTTTATACCTCTGTTTTGATAACAAATCTGCTCTAATTTTCAAAGAATGAAAATGGTACTCTCACAAACACCAAAAAAGGGAAAATAACTATTAGTTAATTCACAGCAGACAGGGATCTTATGGAGATCAATGACAGAGAAATACTAAAAAAAAAAACAAGAGGTTTGGGGCAGATAGCTGTAGTTATTTTGAATCCATACTCAAATGCCTCCCACTTATCTGCCTTTGCGCTCTCCAGTGAACCCCCTTCTTTCTTACCTCCAGCAGGTCAATGCAAACATAACACTCAACACTCAAATCCTCTTTGGCAAGCTTCTTTTTTTATTCTAAATGTGGTTTCTTGATGTGTTGCGCATGTTACAACATTGAAAGTAATCATCCTATATTTAGTAACTCGGATCGGCTGCAAACAATTCCTCCTTTGAGGCCGTATTAATTCTGTGCTTATCCATTCTAACACCAACAAGAGCTGCACGGACCGCCAGTTAGCAGTGAGAGCTGCTGCTGGGACTTAATCCCATGCTTCATGAGCCAGGAGCAACACAAAACAACACTTCCCAGAAATGTTCACTGCACCAAGTCATAGGAGGTTATAACTTTGATTTGGGAGTAAATAAAGTGCTCTCAGTGGGAAACAAAAATGTGAGTTAGTAAAAAACTTAAAAATAAAAACCTCTTTTGCAAAGATGATGTCAGCTGACAGAAGTATCTCAGGTATTTATCTCCTAATGAGGTAACTTGTGCAAACAAACAAAAACAGCTCCATCTTGTTCCTCCTCGACATAACATGAAGTGCAGCAGAAACGTTTAAAAATGAGTCATAATGTTGGGGAATGATTTCCCTCAAACAAGCCTGTGAATGGTTCTTCTGTGGAATGATAAAGCTTTGTCTTTTGTTCACTTCCCTGCCCGCTAACAGCAAGGGAGGCTGCTATGTGGGAGCTGGAGGAGCGCCATCTGCAGGAGAAACACCAGTTGTTCAAACAGCAGCTGAAAGACCAGTACTTCATGCAGAGACATCAGCTGCTAAAGAGACATGAGAAGGTTTGTGCTGGATAATAAAAAAGAACTCATTTTTTAATCTTTTTATATAATTGCTGCAATAAATTTTCATTTAAGTTCAAATGTTAAATGTTCTGGAAAGCTTCAATTTGAAATGGGAACAATACCTGTCTAGTAGGAAAGATTCTGTACAGGAGATATGATAACCAATCAGAACACGACACCGAGCATCACTGAGAAATTAACATGCTAATTTTTTTTTGTTTGTTTGTTTGATTTTTTTGTTCTTTTTTTTTCTCCTTTTTCTTATATGAGTTTATTTATTTATTTATTTATTTTAGTATTTTACTGCCGTCGTTGCTACCATGTGTTTTTTTTTTCTTTCTCTGTTTACTGGAATATAAGCATTGTATAATATAGTTATTTGTTTATTTTCTGTATACAAGTCAATGCTTATATTATATATTAATAATATATATTATATTACGACATATACAACATTTGCCACATGTGTACTCGTAATGTACAATATTCATAAAAAAAAAAGTTCAAACGTTAAAAGTTGCACTGATTTCTCTCTGTGCTCTTTGTCTGCTTTTGGTTGTCCTGTGCAGGAGATGGAGCAGATGCAGCGTTACAACCAGCGTCTGATCGAGGAGCTGAAGAACAAACAGACACAGGAGAGAGCCAGGCTGCCCAAAATCCAGCGCAGTGAGGCCAAGACCCGCATGGCCATGTACAAGAAGAGCCTGCGTATCACTGGAGCAACCATCAGCCTGGAGCAGGAGAGGGAGAGGGTCAAACAGGTGATGATTAATACGAATAAAAGAAATCAACCATTTATCTGTCGTCTTGTACTGCTGTAAAATCAAAACAAACTCCTGGAGTCTAAATTTTTCTCTTCAATTAAAAACTTTTGAGACTGAACCATAACTGTGTTTTCCAGTTCGCTGCTCAGGAAGAGAAGAGACAAAAGAACGAGAGGCTCCATCAGCATCAGAAACACGAAAACCAGATGAGAGACCTGCAACTGCAGTGTGACGCCAACGTCCGAGAGCTCCAGCAGCTGCAGGTAGAGATGATCAAGAACACCTTTACTTGGACTGAAACAGTCAAACATTCAATGTTATTGTTTTTTTTTTTATAATGATCTACTGGAGAGTATTCATTCTAGTATCCCAGTGCTCCGTGTTTATTTAAACATTTTTATTGTTCAGGAATGACTTAACAGGTAGAAAGAGTTTGAGCCTTTACCTCATTCGATCTGTTCTGCTGGCAGCGGAGGGGTGAGCTGTAAAAGCTGCAGCTTAATCTGTCGGCACAGACTGTTACTTGAACTGTCGGGCACCATTATGCAAAGGATCCTTTTTTAGATAGATCTTTTTGTTGAGGTAAGATCTTTTTTTATCCAAAAACAGCAGTTACATTGATGTATTTAAAGCCACCAGGCTGCCCTGACTGTAAGTGGCAAAAATAGTGACATCAGTACAAACTCTCCCGGTGATGATGGTGCCGTCATTACAACTGGAATCTGAACTACCAGCTTAAAGCAGAAGAAGTGATCTTTGAATATTTACACTGTTAGAAAGGACATAAATAAACACTAGAATTAGAGTTTAAATTACACTCTTGGATTTCAACTTAAGACAGAGTAACATTTGTGAACTTTTGTTCCCCTCTATCTGTGTATGTGTGTTACAGAACGAGAAGTGTCACCTGCTGATTGAACATGAGACCCAGAAGTTGAAGGAGTTGGACGAGGAGCACAGCCTTGAGCTGAAGGAGTGGAGGGAGAAACTACGACCCAGGAAGAAGGCAAGATATCTTTTACGATCTTTTACCTCCCCTTTTCCTACTGTATCTCCAAAAACAAAGATTTCAGTGAGTAATTTTGATACAAGGTGCATGGATGTATAAAGTGTGTGTTGAAGCCTCAGGACTTGACACTAACTTTTTTCACAAGGAGCACATTTGCTCCTGAGTTGAAAAAGTAAGGAGCACACAAAGAACTTTAGGGGTACAATCAAAATGTATTAAATAATGTTTGTCTTATTGGTCGACAGAAGTACTATTACTTGAAATTAATTTTAGGTCTTTTGGTCACATGACATGGAAGCTATTGAAGGAAAACAGCTTTTCTTGAGAACATCAACTGGTAATTTATTGATGGTCCCTTATTCAGCACCCAATGTTGACAGAGAGGGTGCCCAGTAGAGTGAGAAGACAGCGGTAGATCAGCAGTAAATGTCCATCAAATATCCAACCTAAAATAACTTCACCGCGGTATTTGCGTGAAAAAACATTTGTCGCCTCGGCTGATTTTTTTTATGCACACGTGTGCCCTACATACATTTTACAATTCGCGCACATCTATTTTTAGTCGCAATTGCGAGTGAAACGGTTGCACTGTGGAGCCTTGAGCCTATTAGAAGTGTGGGTGCAGGGTTTTTAGCTAAAGTGTGGTACATCCTACAAGATAATCGTGCCAAACCTTGACAGATTATTCTTCAGTGTGTTTAGATTGATTTCTCTTCTCCTGTGCAATCCCTGTGGAAGTTAAGTAGAGCTACCCCAACGTGTATTAATAAACATTAAACAAGTTCGACAATTACAATCGGAAATCCTCATGTATGTGGAGGATGGCCTAGCATGAATTCTGCCCACTGTCATTTGTAATGAACTGACGAATACCAAGCAACAGGTGTTTGGTTAAACATACCAACACTGAACTGACAAGAACAGGAGATGAACAGGAGTTGCTGGTTCATCCTACATTTACTAAGTGGCTGGCAAAGGTTAGCTCATGTAGTCTGCTATGTTAGGTCTTTTTTAACCTCTGGAGAATCTATAGGATTTCCAGGTTTTGAGAGTCAGGATTCCAGCTGCTGGTGAGAAGAGTTTTTGGTGTGTGTGTGTGTGTGTGTGTGTGTGTGTGTGTGTGTGTGTGTGTGTGTGTGTGTGTGTGTGTGTGTGTGTGTGTGTGTGTGTGTGTGCATTTGATGTGCTGTGTTTATTACAACAATGCACACCACACACTAAAGGAACAAAACCATTAAACATGTCTCCATTCATCATCATGTGTGGAGATTCTGACATATTAAAAATCCGTTAAGATTCCCATAACTTAGTTATAGCGTGTGCCAAACTTTAGCTTAAGTTGTGGGTAGGGCTGGGCGATAAACCAAAAATTTACAGATACCTAAATTTACGTCAATAACCAACGTCATTTTGCCCATATCGGTTTATTCGATGTAAAAAAAACAGTAAATAAAAGGGGGTTTTAGATGTGTGTAGGTAGGCTATGGTCTCATGTTCCTTAAATACACTTTCCTACATCAGAGACGTGACTCCACCCCATCCAGTCCGTAACAAAGAGGGAAAGACAGGTGAGGAGATGGAGGACGATCCAAAAGTTGTAGTGGCTGAAGTAGACGAAGTTAATGTGGGAGGGGGTGAGCAGCTTGTGAAGTAGTTATTGAGGTGAACTGCTCAATATATGGAGATATTGATTTGAGGCCATATCGCCCAGCCCTAGTTTTGGGGTATAGTAGACGAGTAATCATAACAGTGGGTATCTCCCAGTGTGGAACAGTTAGTCTGAATTTTAAAGTACATACATGAAGTTGTATGCAGGCTGTGTCTGGTTGAACTGGTGTGTAACCAATACAGACATGTGGGAATTGACCTGCAATAAAGACCAACAATGGTGGTGCTAGCTCTGCCAATGTTAGCCACACACAGCTAACCAATTTGACGTTTGGTACCCACAAACACTTTGATCCTGTGATTAGCCAGGTCGAATAAACAGTGCTTAATTTTGACAAAGACCACAGCTCCAGTCAGAGATATCAGGTTTCAAGAAACTAACAGGTTGACTGAGAGCCAGAGAGCTCTGTGACACACAAACGTCTGGCTTCAAGCTAGGTGTTCTAGGTTAACCCTCTAGTCACACTTCATAGCACTCCCTCTGGTGGAGTAATCAGCTGTTCTTTTGTTTGGATTTGTGTAGTAATACGGTAAATGTTTAAACATTTTAACTTTGACTTCCTAAAAAGTCTTTTTAAATGTATTCATAAACTCAAGTGTGACAACAGCGTGTCTGTTTCCATCCTTCAGGCCCTGGAGGAAGAGTTTGCCAGGAAGCTGCAGGAGCAGGAAGTTTTCTTCAAGATGAGCGGAGAGTCGGAGTGCCTTAACCCCTCCACACAGAGCCGAATCTCCAAGTTCTACCCCATACCCAGCGTCCACTCCACCGGTTTCTAAGAGAAACCTATCTCCACATGCAAACACACGCACACGTACACACATGGTCCACTTGCGTACACAGAGCAAGTGGAAATGTGGACACACTAACAGGAAGAACCGAGCCTGTGCTGCCTTGCCCTCATCCTTTGGGGACTGTTGAAGGATGAAAGAAGCATCTCTGTTTCTGGACTTTGGTGCTGAGTCTGCAGCTCTCTTCGTTCTGCTCTTTTTATCCTATTATATCATAACATATCATATCATATATCACATCATATCATATTTTCTCACTATTAGAGCTGTTGGAAGGAAAATGAAGTCGGAGATGGGGAGATTCAGTGTTTCGGTCATAACCTCAGAACTACTAAAGTGAAGTTGCTTTGTCTGAGCTCCTCTCACTGATTGAACTGTTTTGTAAAGAATCCAGTGCCTGTAGGATTTGTTGTTTTTGGCTTTTAAGTCAGAACAGTTTATGAAAATTATTTGCTGCTCAGTTTATCTCTTATTTAGATGTTTGCACTAATGAAAAAATAGCATTTTTATACCACTTAAACATAATGTCGCTGATTTAATTTGAATACTAAGAGCAAACATATCATTTAGAATTAATGCTAAAATAGAATGTATTTCTGATGACAGAGGAAGACATTTTTGACAACTCTCATGTTAATAGAAATAAATGATACAGTATAATTTTGATCAAGTAACACTCCATATTAGCTTTAGGAACTTTTTCCTTCAGAAATGATTCTGACTTTCAGGGTTTCTCTTCAGAATGCCTTCATGACTCAAGCACAACCCTTTAGTTCACTTTGAAGCTACAAGCAGAGGTGGAAAATATTGAATAGAGGAATTTTAGAGGAGGTGTTTACATACAGAGACAGAGGATCACTGTTCACTAGACACTAAGGAAATCACTGTGGTGGCAGGAGCAAAGACTGTCGAACAAGCATTTATATACCTGTTTGTTAGCCTGGATTTTAATGTTGTAGGTTTGACCCACTGACTGCACATACACAAGGACACACCCCCTATTGTAAGAGGTGAAGCCAAAATTGGTGGGCACAGACATTGTTTTGGTGACATAATGTGGAGCCAAGGCGTTTGCAGAAGTGATCTGGCTTGTAAAACTACAGGGCTGATGCTATACCCTCTCTACTCACCACCACAGACACGTAACTTTGCAGTGAAAAGTCAAAGAGCCCTAAGGTTGGTACTGTCTGCAACAGAATTTGTTCTAGTGTCACTTTGAAGCAAACACTTGTGGTTTTGGGAAGTTCAAGGACTCAGGTTTTTTAGTTCATTATAGTGTATCCTTATATCCTCATCATTGGCCTTTTTAAATACCTGATTACACAAGCCACAGTTTGTTTCTTGAGGTGTCCCAAAGGAAATTTGAAACACTGAAATTTGTTGTCCTAAATGGAGGAATGTTTTGAACCAAACTAGCACCCCACAAGATTTATTTACTACGTATATCATATACCACAGCTTTCTTTAAACCTGTGATTGTTGCCTAATGAGGGAGATGAGCATAAAACAGTGTAAATACTAGATTCATCTTTCTTAATATGTATCCAGCAAACTGGATTCATTGTTTGGAGGCCATCTTCTGAATGAAATACCACTATGCAATAAATACCTCTCTGCACAACAAAAAACTGTACTCAAAGTGTTTCTTTAACACCCAAATTTACTTTCTCCAAAATGTAAAAACTTCTGACCTTCACTGCTGCCAGTCACTAGGGGGAGCTCTGAAAGTTTTGGCTTCACTTCAGGGATGATGTGCTGTCTGTGTTTTCATACAGTCTTTATTATTTTACATGAAGATGTAATGTATCAATAGGAGCGTTGCTCAGGGATGAATAGAGAACGCAAAGTTTCAGTGTGTCCATAAATTGTAGAAAAGAGATACATGTGAGTAGTGGTGTATGAGGTTCTCTGTAACACGGTATACTCTGGACATTGTATTTTAATTACCAGTAATGGTATAAATGCAAAATTTGTGGCTACTGTTTGGTTTTGTGTTGGGTTTAAGCTGCCAACCATCTGACAGCAGTGTCCATCCACTACAGAGCTGAAGGAAACAGAAAGCACAGGTGGAGTTTTAAGGGCTCACACTCTCAGTACGATATTTGTTTGATATCAATTGCATGAACAGATTTTTTTTTTTACATATGCAGCTTTAATAAACATTAACATAAACCATCAAACAGTTTTAAGAGTTGTAAGGGTTTAGCCTCTTAGAACCCTCTTAGCAAACTGTAACCACAAATATCTCATCCAGACTGAACAAACACCATCACACTCATTATCCTGTTTTTTTACTGTAACCTCAGTGTAACACATAGGCCCGCTTCTCCTTCTTTTGAATGAAATGATAATACTGTTTTTACCGTCATGCTAGCTTATAGCCTTAATACTTCAGAGACGCTGTATGGATATACTGTAAACCTGTTATAACTGCCTTTGAAGACTTTAGTCCAACTAAAGAAGTTATGCCAGCTCCTAAACTCAATGTTCTGTGTGATGAATGTTGCAGAAATATTGTATCTGTGTGTCAACTGTGTATAAGAAGTGGATGTAGCCACTGGTGGAGAACCAGTTTGGAGTTCTTCAGAAAAACTGTGACATACTTTTCTTTTGTGTAGTGTATGTTTACTTTGATATAATATTCAATGGGATTTTAGTTTGAAAAGCTCAAAACAGTCTTTTAATAAGTTGTAAAAATCAGGATGAAATGAACAGCTGCCTCCTTAGAGCGTCTGCTAATACACCAGCAAACTGAACTAGAGGGTAATTACAAATTGAGACATACTGTATGACTTTTACCTTGAATTAAAAAGAATAGTTTACATGTGAACATTATTCTGCTTTGGAAAATAACTGGGGCTACATACTTAGACTGTAGATTCACAAGGAAAATATCAACTTGTGAAGGGTTTGTAGTTGGAAACAGGGGTTAGTCTGGCAGACTTTTTTCTCTACTATGGCTTGAAAAACTGCTTTTTCAGTCAGTTATACATCAGATTTACGATGAACCTCAGCGGCTAAATCCACATCTTATATACAGTCTGTGATCTGTGTTCAAAGAAACAAAGACAGAGCATGACCTCTTAGCATTTTTCCTTTATTTAGACAGTGTTCAGTATTTTTTGTGTTTAAAATGTTATTGTTGATGCAGTTGTAAACACAAGCAAATCAAACCATGGACCTGACTGGTTTAGGCCATCTTACATTCTGATTGGTCCATTTGATCATCTCATTTTCTTATTGATTGGGAGTTGCAGATAGTCAGAGGTAATTAAAAACTGAATTGTAATGTACAAAAAATGCAATGAAGGAGTGCTGTGCACCTTTTACAAAGCTGACTCAGTAGCTATTTATATAAACATGTATCACCCAAACTGCAGCATCAGTGCTGGAGCTTAATCTTTTATTGGTGAACTGTGGCATACAAAAATATGATCACTAAATCAGTCTAGTCGATTTTTGCTTTTTTTGGGTGGTGAGAGTCTACAGATTAATGATTGAATGTTGACTGAAACACAATATCCGCATCAAAATCATCATGCATTTTTTCAATGTTAATGTATAGTTTTTAGAAGGCCTGTGTACTGTAGATTTTCATTTTGCTGTAAATAAACTTTCTCTTCTGTATTTCAGTCCGGTTTATTGTTTAGTGATTCCATCTTAGTGATACATTTAATGGCAGTGATGAAAAGCAATTAAAGCAAAACAACTTGAGTCACAAAACATGTAGTAATAAAAAGGCTTTTGAAATCAGTCGCTCATTCATCTAAGAGTATAAAAGATATCAACCTGCTGAATGACACCCGTTCAAAAAATGTACAAAATAAGCTCATCCACAACTTTACATGATCCCTCCACTCAAAAAGACACATTTGCATAGAGTAAAAAAATACTTTCATACCACAAGTCATATCAAAAAGTATCAGTAAACAACATTAATTTTCATTTCCCACCTCTAAACACCCAGAACAGTCCACATGTTTTAATATGTCAGACGGGGGTCCTCACGGACAGTAACACCATCTCAAACACCTACATTCCTGCGTCTTCTTCTGGCTCTTAGAGTGAACTCATCTGTAAAAAATACAGAAATCAAACATTTTCAAAATATTGATTATTGGGTTCCTAACAGTTCCATGAAGTCCCAGAAGGGGAGAAATGTTATCCTGTACACAAAAAATTTAATTCTTGCAGCAAAAAGTTATTTTGTGATAAGGGGACTCTATCATTATCCTCACTGAACAACTATTGTATATATGGAGCAGCGGTATTATATCAGCCTCCACAGTGACGTGAATCACTGACCCAGAATTAGTTTTTGTTTAGTTCACAGTTTTCTGTCCTGGTACAATAAGATTATCTTGTTTTAAATGAAACAATTACCCCCTAACCACAAGATAACTTCTTTGCATGATGTATCTTTTTCCCTAAGATAATGCCTTGTTTGCACTCACTAATATTTGTTTCCAGAAGGTTATATGTGTTTAAATGTGACTATTTTTTTCTCTCTCTGCTAGATAAGTTTCTCATAGAATAGTGTCTTCCTCCCCCACGTAAATGGTTTGTTTGCGCAGGATATTTATTGTATTCTCATAAGATTGTTTCTTGTTTATACAGAGTATTGTATAGTTGGCAGAAATTATAACTCGCTACAACCAGATAATTTTATTCTTTCCTCAAGATAACATCTTGTTTAATGCTGAGTGTTTTCATTTGTTTCCAAAAGATAGTTTTTGAGTGAAGAATATTTCTGTGCTTATGCAAGATAATAATTTGGTAAAACAGGATATCTGCACTGCTATCACTAGATAATGAGCTCTTTAAGAAGTAGATTATCTTGATCTTAAAAGATAGTATCTTGATCCTACAGAATAACATCTTGTTTCTACAACACAATAATTTGCAAGCACATGATAATGATCTTGTTTACACTAAATGTTCCGTCTTACTAAAATATAATGTATGAATTGCAGAGGATAATATCTTGTCTCCACAAGACAAGATTTTGTTAGCACAGGATTATCTTTTTTTCACAGGACAATTGGTTGCAAGGTAGAATGCCTTATGAACACAAGCTTGGTTTCCACTGGAAAATATCTTGTTGCCACAAAATTATAATTTGTACACACATGATAATTATCTTGATTGCAACATCTGTTCCAACAATACAATATCTTGACTGAACAAGAAAATAAATTGTCAACACAGGCTGCTAATTTTGTTCTTAACTGATATCTTTGCCACAGCATCATATTTTAGTTCCAATTTTTTTCACACAGGATAATATCTTGCCTATGTACAATAATTTCAATAATTGAATAAATAGTTTTGCAACAGTTAGTTATTGTGTGTTCAACCATGACTGGTTAACACAGTAAAATATCTTGTTTACAGAAAAGAACTGAAGCCCAGAAAATAAATATCAACTAATTTTAGGACTTTTAAGGGTGTTTGATGATCTAAATGAGATATTTTGTTACAGTTTCAAATCTGCAGTGAGGCCCTGCTCTCCCATGAAACAGCTGCAAGCCAACTGGAATAGGAAAGTTACAGAGGGCGCGCGACGCTGGCTCTGATAAGATTAATCACCGTCTTTTGGTTTCTATTTGAGAATGAAGGTCTGCTCCTCAAATACAAGTGATGCTATGCTGATCAAAGTCGCCAATACTGCTACAGTCATAACTAGCATTTGTTAACAGTTGATTTTTTAAATAAAACTCAACTAGCAAGCAACATTTAAGTACCAGGAACCAGCTCCTAACATACTATCATGACTGACCTCTGTCTCTTTCTGATCCTCTGCGTCCATCAGGCCCTGGAGGTCCTCGTTCACCTGAGTCAACACAGAGAGCAGTACTTTGAAATACAAGCATCTGATTGACCACAAAAGATCAAACCTGTTGACGTTTAGTTTTTAGTTTTACAAAGCAGACATTGACCTCTAACTTAAAACTTGAGTTATTCTGAAAAACAGACAACAGCCTAATCCCACACGTCAAACAAACTCAATCTACATGGGAAAGTTCCAGCAGCTTCAACTCTGCCTGTTGACACTGTGGCAAAAATGTCTGAAATGGTAAAAATTGTTGTCCCTTGCTTGGGAATGTTGTGATAGAAAACAAATCATTTCCAAGCAAATGGAATTGTTATCTTGCTAATAGCAATCATTACTGTGAGCTTCCTTATGTCAAGCACGGAAATGTTTCTAACTGTTGTCCCAAAGCAGCCAGGACTCACTGACTCATCAAAAGTGATTTTAATAGTCTTAAATTGAACACATATGAAATAATCCCAATTTTATTTAGATGTACCTCTCTCTCCTTTCGGTCCTGGTCTCCCGGGTGGACCTATGATGGCTCCATGTGCTGTAAGGGGACAATTTTAGTTGCTTTCAGTGATTTCAGTCAGAAAACAATGAGTGGCATTGTGAAATTAGTTATTCCTTTATACCTCTGATGAATTCCATTAAATCTGTGACGTTTGTGTGGGATCCAAACAGTCTGCTATACCCAGGAGGACCAGGGGGGCCAGGTGGTCCTTGGGGCCCTTGAATGGCACGCTCATTGTGTAGCAGCCCATGAGCTGGATAAAAAAAAAAATCACAAAAAGGTTAAACTACAGCCTTCAACAACTGTGTCTTTATTTGTTATTCACAATATCACATGGTAATAACTAACATCTGATGTAATCCAGAAGGTCTGTGGCATTTCTATGGGAACCAAACCATCGTGTATATCCAGGAGGACCTTGGGGGCCTGGAGGTCCCGGAGGTCCTTGGAATATACGGCCATTATACTCGTTCACAATGTCATGTAGTAGACCATTGGCTGTTAAAGAGAGGAAAGGTTATGATGGTGGTGTGGGGGCTGAAAAAAGATCAGACTGTAGGACAGTTCTAGTTTAAAATCTTCAAACCTTCAAGTAAATTTTCAGTCATTTTCAGTTTTAAAAACTTCTTCTGGTTCACCTACATTTAATGTAATCAGTAACTCGGGCAGCCATATTGGAGTAGTCTGCAGTATCTGGACTCCCAGGAACACCTGGCTCTCCCTTGTGTCCTGGGGGTCCAGGAGGGCCTGGCGGACCAGGAACTCCAAACATAGATCCTGCCAAGCCATCACCTGAAGACAAGAAAATGTTTCAGCACTGCAAAAAACAGACTCGCAGTCATGTGACTACAATCCAGTAAGACAATTACCAAGTATCTGACAATTAAAGTTAAAATTGGAAAACAGACTAGAGAGGTCAAAGCGCGGTTCTAGGACTGGGGATGAATTTTAAATGAGTCATTCATATGAGCCATTAGCAGATTCTTGTATTCCTTTCTACTTACTCCTCACATATTCCTGTCGTTCTGCGTTTAATTTCACTCTGCCGGCATGTTCAGCATAGGAAAGAAGTCCTTGGATTGCACCAGGGGGGCCCTCTGGTCCAGGGGGACCTGGAGGTCCAGGTGGACCTCTGAATGAAACACCTTTAAGAGGATAACACATTAAACGTTAACTTGAACGAAATGTCAGCATGTTTTATTTATGTATTTATCTGAGTTTATTGTGGGTCTTTGATACATTCCTTTAGGGAGGATAGGACAACAGCGTAGGAAACCAGGAGGAAAAGTGAGGCATGACAAGTAGAAAAAAGCTGGAGATCAGAATCCATTCAAGGCTGCCCACCTTCTGGGTCGCAGCCTTTGTAAGTAAAAAATTTAACCACGTGGCCAAACCAGTGCCCCTCAGCATGTTCACTGAGATGAAACACTCATAAAATGGTGAAGCAGTTGTGTTGACTCACTTTGTAGGTAGTCCTGGATATCTGAAGTGAGGAAGTTTGTATATCCTGGTGGGCCTTGTGGTCCAACTGGTCCAACTGGTCCAATTGGTCCAATTGGTCCAGGTGGGCCTTGTGGACCAGGGGCACCAGCAGGTCCTTGAGGGCCAACAAGCGTGTGATACCCAGCTAGTTGGAGAATGAAAAAAGAAGTGAGCTGAAGAACGGTTTGGACCTGATGTCTGGATTAGATGCTCTACATAAACATGAAAATTTTAGGGTCCAATAAAAAAATGCATTTTTAGCTGTTTGCAACATTTCCTGGATGTCTTTTATGACAGTTACTTCAGTTACAAAGTACAGTGCATCACAAAATCATGATATGCAGCCTCTCAGTTTGTAACAGCTCATCAATGAGTGATCACAGTGGAGGGATGCTTTGAAAAAGAAAGGCCGTTCTGATTGGATGTCTGAATGTCTAAGGGGGGTGGGCGTAGAGTGGTGTTAATGAGGACCAGAGGCAGAGGGTTTGTAGAAAACCTTGTGTACCAACCAATCAATGTGCTTGATCATGATGCCGTGTAAAAAACATTATTGCAACACCCTTCTTCAACAGAGACTCTTCGTTATTGTGGAGCTGTGCTGATTTTAGTCAGAAGTCATGTTTTCAAATTAAAAGTTTGCTTTGAGTTTAGAAGGATATAACCAGGATATATAAGGATATAACTTGTTCATGTGTGCAACTGCTCATATGTTACTTTCACCGAAAATAATGTATAAGAAAATTTGAGAGTTTTTTTTACTGTCTTGCTTGTCAAAATAACTAAATATAGTTGGCCCTGCTTGTTGAAGCACTCTGGGGTTAGAGTGGCGAGCACAAACATCTTATCTCCAACTTTAGCCTGCACACGTGTTCTTCATTATATGGTACTCTTGTACTGTATAGTAGTCTATCAGTGGGCAGTTTGTGATCTATTTTTTTAATTGTAACAATTTCTTTTTCTTTACGTGTTATCAAGTTTCCAGGAGCACCAGGAGGTCCAGGCGGTCCAGGGGGTCCAGGAGCACCTGCATGCCCACCTGCTTGCCCCCTGCCTGAGGATACACAGATACTTCAGTCAATCTGAGGCATGTCCTCACTGAAGAGGTAGTTTGAGTACCTGAAGGTCCGTCAATAATACTCACCATCCATCAGGGTGAGGACACGTTCAGCCACTTCCTGGGTGTTGATCAAATATTGACCAGGACCTGAACCTGAATCTCCAGGAGGGCCTGGTGGTCCAGGTGGGCCAGTAAGATATGGTCTTACATCATCTCCTGAACACAAACAATTGATACAGTTTAGCTGAGAGTCTCACAAGTTCTGCTCTGAAGGGGGGTAACAAATCAACTTCTTTATGATTTACAAATAAACAAGTTGAGTTTTGTCTGCAAAGACAGTTTGTTGTGAGCCAACGATTGGTGAGATCTTTTGTGGTTATTTTATAGGTTTAAAAGGTATGGGCTTTAGAGCTGATTTAAACCAACTGACTTACGTTGCAGTAGGCTGAGGATGTCATTAGCAGAGATAGAGCCAGAGCCAGAGCCAGAACCAGGTGGACCGGGTGGACCAGGAGGGCCAGGAACCCCTCCAAATCCTGAACCTGGGGTTTGAGACAGTTTTTTTTCCCACTGTTAGTACCAAAAATCGTCCTGTCTGACATGAAGCTGAAGATGGAAACATATTTGATCTTACTCTGGATGTAGGAAAAGACTCTGTTTGCCACATCATCAGTCGACCCTGTTCCTGGGTTACCTGGAGCACCAGGTGGCCCAGGAGGTCCAGGAGGTCCAGACAGGTAATTTCTGATGTCACCACCTGCATGGAGTCAAAATCAATTTATTCTGAAGAGATCACTTGAGTAAATATTGGAATTATTGTTCAGAGTGAATAAACATGGATTACTCTGCAGGTAATCTGCGATGTACTGTCCCACATTTTCCGAGCCAGACCCACTTCCATCTCTTCCAGGTGCACCAGGTGCACCAGGTGCACCAGGTGGCCCTGGTGGTCCTGGTGGTCCTGAACCTGAACCTGGACCTGGTTCATCAACATAAAAATTACTGATGAAATGTCAGGTATGCACAGAAAAGACTGCATTAACATTTCTTTATAAATAATCTAAAATACATAAAAAAAAACAAAAAACCACTTTTACCATTAACAAAATCAGCAGAGCCATTTACCAAACAGCGCTCAACATGGCTGAGAAGAAACTGAATAACTTCTATTTGCATTACCTCTACTAGCCACTAGAGGCAGACTCTAGAGAAAGACAGATATAAACATCTAGTTTTTTATCTTTTAAAACTGCACTTTATTCGACAAGAAGTCTGAGATTTCTTGGATCTAATTTACACTTAGATTATTGTTGGAGTAGAGTAGACCATATTTAGCAAGTCCAATTATGGAAGACTAACTGTTCTGGGGCAGAAAAACTTTATTAGCCTTTACCAAACAAGCATATAAAGATTGTAATTAATGCACATCATCTTTCTTTTTTGTGATAATATGCAGTAATTAGGAGCAGTTACTAGTTGTAGACTATGCTAATGGAAATACTGGTGTTAAAAGGTGCTTTACAAAGACTAATAGGGAGCCAATTTGCTACAACTGTGCATGCTAAAAAGTAATAAGTTGTGTTTAATGTGTGTAACCTTGCGTTTGCCATCAGGGTTTAGGTCAGGAAAAGACATGGGAAGTAATATTTTAGACTTTCAAACTTTTGAAATCTGTAGCGTTAGCTTAGCTTACTCATTTTAGACCCTGGATCCTGAGCATATTTTTGATCTCTGCTCAAGCATAACATTTTTCCACAACTAAACTGTATGAACCTATAACAAGAGTTTAAGTCCAACTTAGAATCAACAGTCCAGTTATTTTTGTCTCATCAGTATCACCAAATCTTTCTGACTCCTACTAAGAGTTGCTCCTAGTGGTTAAAGGTTATGAAATAAATCATCAAAACTCCACATTTTTATGCGCATGTGACCCAATTAAGAGGAATTTGGGGGAATTTGTCGGCCATAGCTGCTGCTTACTCTGAACTCTGTAAACGTGTGAAAGTGCATAATTAGATTGCTAGAAGGTTATAACTAGGACACTGCCCTGATACCAAGTTTGAAATGACATGAAATGAAGAGAAACCTTACCAGAGGACACTCCTGGGGCACCGGGAGCACCTGGATTTCCTGGTGCACCTGGATTACCTGGTGCACCAGGGGCTCCAATATCACCTAAAGAGAAACAATAAGTGTGAAAGAATCAAATCTTAAGTGACTTGGATTTGGAATAAAATAATCCAGGTAAAAAAGAGGGCAGAGAGAATCAGTTTAAAAGACATTGCTCATGTGTGAACTATTTAAAACCTCTTTAATATTATATCAAAATTAGAGGAACTTTATGATACAAACTATTCTAAGAAGGCTTTGTCATACATTCAACCAGAATTTACCTCTCTGTCCTGGTGGACCTCCTGGGCCTGGTGGACCCTGAGCGCCACTAGCTCCGGGCTGACCTGGAAAACCTAAAATGAACACCAAAACAATGACTTAAGATCTGCTCAAAAAGTCAGGATGTCCATTAATGACTTTTGAATACACCGCTTGCCCAAGAAGGCCACCTCATGAGGCTGCCAAACTGCTAGCTTTTTACTGTGGATGTTTGTCTTTAAACAAGTTCAAGAAAGATGAAGGAAGGAAAAGTTGAAAGCTTTGATTTTTCTTGATTTTAGTTGCGTGCTGTAGACCTTTTCATTGTAAGTTCTTTTATTTCACATCAGCGCATACAGATATTTCTTTTTTTTTTTACATGTGCCAATGAGGTTGTCTTTTTTCAAACACAACAAAAAAGACTTCAGTTCAAGTTTCTTACATACCAACATTTGATTCCCCTGGACTTCCTGGACTTCCTGGAAGGCCTGGTTGACCCGGCTCACCTAAAAAAAAACACAGAATTCAGCCAAAGTCAAATAGATACTATAAATAAGTAGTTTTTAAGGACTACAGTGAACTACTTTTAGTTTTCTTACCTTTGTACCCTTGTGGTCCTGGAGCACCTAGAGACAATAAATGCTTATTTTTAGAGGCAATATCTCTGAATCCAAAGCTCTTTGAAGTTTCAAAAAATGTCTACAAATTAGACAAGGAGCTGCAAAATGTAAAAGATTTAACAAAAGGGCTATTTCACTCAACCCTGCACTGTTTACCCCACACTTTGTCTCTGTACTCAAGTGCAAATTTGGATGAAGTTTGCACTTTAAGAAAAAGTACTGCTTTTTCCTTACCTGGTCTTGAACTTTAACACTGTGCATTTTTTAGAATTTAGCATAACATTCAAATATTGGACTAGCGGTTTAAAAATGGGTCCCATGCGCAGCTCTGGCCCACATCAACCAGTTCAACCTCCACCCACCTAATTAATCTCCATATTTTCTGTTTCTCTTTGACTCTCCGACTTCTAAAAAGCAAAAGTGCCCAAAGAAACCATTTAAAAAAGTAGTTTTTTTTCTTCTTCTCATAAACCTAAGATCTTGTTCATTTGCTGACCATACCAGAGGAATGCATGGCTGCTCAGAAATGATCACAAGTCAGAAAAGTCAAAACTTCTGCTTGCTGGCATATTACAAAAGCAACCAGGTGTAGCTGTACATCCAAGCACTAGTACATCCATGTATTGGGGTATTCAAAAGTAATGAATTTTGGAGTACAGCCAAGCACACAGTTCTCCTGAAGCACCAGATTTGTTTAACATACCTGGTGCACCTGGAGGTCCTGAGTGTCCTGGAGGTCCTGGTGGTCCAGCAAAAAAGGATTCTGTGACAAAACACAGGAGACTGCATCAGACATGCCAAACTAAGACAGCAGAGGCTTGATTTGACCATTGTTTTATATGTAGAGTCATTCAATTCAAAATGAGGTTTCCTTTAACAACCTGAGGTGGGCACGAAGCTACCGGGCTCTCCTTTTGCCCCTGGGGGTCCAGGTACACCAATACCTGTGAGGACACATAGTTTCTCATTGTGACGCTGGGAAGATAATTTTTTATGTTGATGATTTATTTGTCTATATTTCTATTTGTAAATGTGTGTCACTTGTTTACCTGGCTCTCCTGGAGGACCTTTTCGCCCCGGAGAACCTGGCTTAGACTCACCTAAACAAAAAGTGCCACAAATGTTTTTTCATTACTCGCAGCTGTATGAAATGCTTCTAAATTTTTATAAACAGCTTTCAACATACCAGGAGGACCTTGAGGACCAATTTCTCCAGGAGGCCCTGGAGGTCCAGGTGGGCCTGGTGGACCAGGCTGTCCAGCCCCTGAGGAAGTGCCTATCAAACATGAGAAAACATGGGATGTAGCACTTGTTGATTGGTAAAAAACAAACAAACAAACAAACAAACAACAGATTCAGTCAGATTAATAAAAAGACAAACTCACCTTCTTTTTGGCTTTCTGACGTTGTAGCACTTTCACTGGGCTCCCCAGGTTTTCCATTCTCCCCGTCCTTTCCCTTCTCTCCTGGTTCTCCTTTTTCTCCTTTCTCTCCCTTTTCTCCCTTCTCCCCTTGATCCCCTTTCTCACCTTTCTCTCCTGGTTCCCCTTTAGGACCTGAATGATAACACCATCATAATAGAGGGTTGTGAACATATGTTTAACAGCTGACACAGGTTTCGGTGATCATGATGGCTCAAGAGTTTGCATGTACCAGGTTGTCCAGGAACTCCAGCCGGGCCAATGGGACCAGACAGACCAGGGTTTCCAGCAGGACCTGGGGGCCCAGCAGGCCCCGGGGCTCCCGGGATGGCCACAGTCTCTGAGCCAACTAGAAACAAAATCAGACGAACACAAGTTTCACTCTTCACAGTGTGCATACAATGAAGGAGTCAAAAAACTCTTGTTGTTCATGTCTTATCAGACAAAGTGCTGCTGATGCTTACCTGGACCAATGACTTTGCCAGGTAATCCTGGTTCACCTGAAATTAGATTAGTTGAATTAGACCACGAGATAAAACTTTACAAACATCTTGTTTATCAGTATTATTGCTGGCTTTTGAAGACAGTATGTCACCAGGACATGGCAATGTAAATGTTAAACATTTACTTTTCCAGGAGATTTCTCCAGATTCCCTAATTTTATGAACTATAGATGAAGACATCCTCAAATTCTTTGCATTTTTACATTTAGGAACATTATTCTGGAATTGGAGACTTATTTTCTCACACAGACTCTCACAGAGTAGTGAACTTCTATCCATCTTTACTTCTAGTAGATTCAACCCCTATGGTTACTGCTTTTTTCCAGACAAAGTCATTTTACTGACCTGTTGCAAATGAACGTAATCAGTTAGGAAATTACCATTTATTTGTCACTGTACAATATTTCAGTGCTGTTCTAACTTTAAAGGAGGCTAGTGAGACATTACCTTGACCACCGGGCTGTCCTGGGCTTCCAGCAATACCTGTGTTGATGAAAAAGTGTTGACATTAACAAAATCTTAACAGTAAGAACAGGATTCATGATGGTATTTAGTATACTCTCATACCTGGGGGTCCTTGGATCCCAGCAACGCCTTCAGAAAACAGAGGAAAAGATTCTTTATGAGGCTCAGAAAGTTTGTTTCTTTACAATTCAAGCAATTACACAAGTACAAGTCCAGTTTATTATGAGTTGTGCTATAAGTGGGTGGTATTGTTGTACCTGGAGTTCCAGGGTCACCAGGAGTTCCTGGTGGTCCTCGTGCACCTGGAGGTCCCGCTGAGCCTGATTCACCTGTAATTTAAATAGAGACACCAGCTTCACTCAACAAACAACAAACTCTTTTAAAAAAAATTCTGTTGAAACATAATGGTTGTCCCAGGGTTTAAAAATGTCTCTTATCTCTGCACCTAAAAAAGGGTTTGAACATGAGAGAGCACAAAATTTGTTGGCACCAAAGCTCCATTAAACCCACATTTGCTCACAAATTTAAAGCTATGTTGTACTGTTTTTCACTGGCAAGTTTCCTTTCCCAAGGAATGTTCTACTGAAGACAAATCCACATCCACATTTCTGTTGTATCTAAGAAAATAACATAACACAAAGAGTGTTTATCCAAACATTAAACTGTATTACTGCTCTATGAGAATTAAACTGAGCTATCGTAAGTTAACACCTCACCACACCTTTTTACAGGCTTGACCAATGCACACTGTCAAGCTACTTTAGTCATGCTTTTTAAGTTTTCATTTGTTTCATTTATTGTCATTTCTAGTTGTTTTTTGAACATATCCGTCACTCAATCTCTTACACTCAGCTCTTGTTTTTTTCTGACTTGGGCAGACAAGCTTAATCTCATGGACAAATAAGTACATCTCATCTCGCCATTTTTCATCTCATTTTTTTTCACCTCATCTCATCCCGTCTAATCAAATTTTAACTCATCCCATCATACCTAATCTCATCTCTTAATATCTGCTCATCTAAACTAAATTCATCTTACCTCATCATGCTATTCACATCATTTTTCATCTAATTTTTCTTTTATCTCCTCCAATCATTTCTCATCTTATGACATCCCATCTAACCTCATCTCACCATTTGTCATCACACCTCATGGTATTCCATCTCATCATTTTTTTATTCTCATATCACTTCATTAAAATTCATAACATTAAATGTAATCTCAACATATTTCTTAAATAATGTTTCATCAAATCTTATCTCATGTTACATCTCATCTTTTTATGCAGCATCTTGTCATCTTACTCTGTTATAAACATTCATCCTATCTTATCAATTTCATCTCAACAAATCCTATCACAACAAATATCAATCTATGTTACCTTAGGAACACATTTTAATTTATCTCATCATCTTTTGTCCTATCATTTTCTCCCCTTGACATTTCTTACTTTATCACATATCCTTTTCCTCAGTTCAATGTATCCCATTTCATCTCTTAATCTCATCTAATCTAATCTCATTTCTTAAATCTCAATTAAATCTCATCCCATCTCAACTCCTCTCATCCCTTCCCTAATTAGATCCATCTGTGTCTTGTTACTAAATTGGTTTTGTATATATCCTTTGTATGTCAACCCTCATGTCATACGCTTTGCAAGGTTGGTCCTTTTGGTATTTTACTTCCAAGTTACAAGTGAGTTTTTACATTTTATTTTGTTTGACTCAGCCTTTTTGCCAGATTTTCATGATGTTTTATCTAACAGACTATATTCAACATAAAACTTTGCAAGTTGTTACACGTGTACCTTTGAGCTGCACATATTTTGTGCATTTATCCACGTCCAGTGTTGGCATCATCAACATCTAAGTAATTCTTTTGCAAGACAGTACTATACAGTTCTTTTCTTATCATTTTAAAGCTCCTTTACTCACCTCCTTCACCTTTGACTCCTTTTGGTCCAGGAGGTCCTTGTGGTCCAGGTGTCCCCGGTTCACCTTCAAATCATAACCACAAAATTAAAGACACCTCCTCAAATAATTGTGCTCGAAAATGTAATGTTTTTTAGTTAAACATTGTCTGACTTATTGTTCACCCTAATCTGCTCTTCCTTGGTATAAAAAAAGGGACAAATTTATTTTAAATCCAGAATCATGCTTTATCATACTGAAAATGGGAAGGAGCAGCAGTAGTAGTAGTTTTTGTAGTTAATGTAGTAATGGTAATGTCCAAATGTCCATACCTTGATATCTTACTTTTCTTTTGTAAATCTTTAATTTATCTTTATTTATTATATTTTTATTCTTTACATTTATTGTATTTTTAGTTCTTACATATTTGATCATTCAGGGTTTTTTTCTGTACATATTGATGCTGCATGAATTTTGATTTCCCTGAGGGACCCTTCCCAAAAGGATCAAAAAAATTCTATTTAATCTAATCTAATCTAATCTATTTGAGACAGCATTAAAGATGACTGAGTATTAGTGAAGTGTTTTTCTTTCAAGTTTTGTCTGTTGAGAACCAAACTGTGTAACTGTACAAGCTCATTATATAAAAGGGAGTTATGGAATTTTTTTTATTTGTTTATTTGTTGTTAGTTTGGGAAAGAGTTTTCTAGAGCCACTTTGCTTCTTTTAATTGTGATAGTTGTTGTTGTTACTCGATTATAGTTCATTTTGTGTTTGTATTTCTGGGACAGACCTGCTGGTCCACGTGGTCCATTCTCTCCCAGGTCTCCTTTTGCACCTGGCAGCCCTGCTGTTCCTCGATCACCTACAAGAAACACAGAAAAAACCTCAACAAAGCTTCCAAAAAGGTGATCTAAATTATTGAAGCAATCTCAATTTGCATGACTGCTATGTTGTACCTCACCACTCCAAAAATATCTGAATTGTTAAAACAGTTTTAATTTCACTGTGAGTCATAGTTTTCAATCTAGCATTACCCTGTACTTTAACAACAACTTTATTTTGACCATTTTTAATTGTACTATAGGTCATACGTGTCACTCAAAAGCCTGAATGTACCTTTGACTCCTGGAGCTCCTGCATCACCTGGGAAACCCCTTGGGCCTGGAGCACCTGCAGAAAAATAAAACCCACTTAATACACAACTGCCAATCTAAACTGGGGAGAAAAAAACAAACAAAAAAAAACCATGAAAATTTAAGCTGGATGGCATCTTACCAGGGCTTCCCACGAGACCGTGCTCTCCTGCAGAACCTAAATAAAAAAGCAAAAATTGGATATGTATATGTTTCCTGTTCATTATCAAGGTTATGGATACTTTGGGAAGTATACAGAAGTGATTCTGCAAATCTTTTCTTAAATTTTTGATTTATTTTGGGTCATTTTTTGTTTTATTTGGCGAGGCAGGAATAGAGCAGGGAATGAGGAGAGAGAACAGAGCGGGATATGGGAAAATGAGGCCTCAGGGCAAAATCAACTCCAGTTAACATAAAACAAACCTTTGTCTGTCACAAGGTAGGGAAATTTGCAATTTATCTAAGAGCAGCTTAGACTGCTAGCCTCGCAGCGCCCCTTGTGTATCATCTTGAAAAATGTTTTAGTTTTTATCCTGAGAGTTTATGGGCAGATAAACTTCTGGCGCCCAAATCTGTCAACAGTTTTGGTTTGGCTATTATTGTGGAGGTAGTGTGACAGTGTTTAAAATTGATCCCGTTCCTGTCTGAGACACAACTCCTTTATTAAAGAAGCGTATTTGTCCCTCTGGTCTAAAAACTAAAGTGACTGTGTTCAGGATTTAAACCTGTGTCATATTTACAGCCATCTGGGAGAGACTCCACTGGTTTCAAAGGGAGTCTTGTTTTGTGTTTCTTCTAAAAGACAGCGCTATCTCTCACGTTAAACATCAATCTATTCAGATAGTTTTCCCATTGTAAGATCATCCGACACAGTTGACATCGTAAAATGCATGTCGTGTAATACACATCGATGTGTACTATGGATGGCTTTGAAATGTGCGTTGAAAAAACAAAAGGGTCATGTTGAAGTTGCTTTATACAATATTTTTTAAGATTTATGAGAAAAAGTTAGGGTGGTGATGAAACAAACCAAAAACAGTCTGCTCTGCAATCAGTGAGGTTTGAGTTTCTTTACTTTCTCAGAAAATTATGGATAAACTTAGACAAAATGCCTTCTCTAATACTGTAAAAAGTGCATACATAGTCGTCCTTTTCTAGATATACAGTACATTCACATGCAAGACCATATTTTTAAATATTGAATTGTAATTTGGCCTTTCCTCACACACAGGACCATAAACAGCCTTTAGATGTTTAGATTTATACGAACATTTTATCTCTGATGTAAGGATGTGATAAAAAGGTTTGCAAAAGAAATTAAACGAAACTTAAAAACATCTAAATGTTCTGAAACAATGAGCTATTACTCCATCATGACCTTTGACCTCACCTTTTGGTCCCACAGGTCCAGCAACACCAGGAGGACCAGGATGTCCCGGCTCACCCGGAGACCCTGTCATAAGCAGATTTCACTGTCAAAGGCTGAAACCTTCAATGAAAAGACTTTCCCACGGTTAACATAAACATTATTCACCTCTTTCCCCTTTCTCTCCAAATCCTGGCAGTCCGGTCTCTCCGCGGGGGCCCATCTGTCCATCTCGGCCCCTCTGCCCTGGTGGTCCCTCGGCACCTGCTTCACCTTGTTAGAGAAATAAAAAACAGCGATCAATATTCAGATTTTTCATTTTATCAGAGTCAAGTACTTACTTTCTTTCTCCACATAAACTACCTGCACTTCCTTTTGGTCCTCTTGCTCCATCCTGTCCTGGGTGACCAATCTGCCCTGGAGGACCTGAAGAAATGATATCAAAGTATCATCACAAAATGAATCATTTATGCCAGATTGAAGTTATCTGCTGCAACACATTTTTTCTCAGTCTTACCTGGAAGGCCAGGGAATCCACTCTCGCCTGCAAAAGACCAGATTATAAAAGTTTACCTGGTGGTAGAAAAACTGCAGATAATTTAAAATCCAAGCTAAAATCAAATAAATATGTCTGACACAAACACACAACTTAAGACCTATTCTCTGAAAAAGAAACGCAATCTTGAAATATAAATTAATTCAAACCAACATAAGAAAAATAAATGAGCTGATAAAAGTAAGTTGATGTGGCAGACTTTCTCACCTTTCTGTCCGATCTGTCCTGCATCACCTGCACAGAAACAGTCACTGTTAGTTTGGCTTTTGACATGATATTAAATCGTGATCATTTCAAGAGTTGTGCAAACATGCCTTTAGGTCCTGGATCTCCCTTCTCTCCTTTCAGCGAGTATGTCAGAGTGTCTGAAGGACAGAAAAACTCAGCATGATCAGTCACTTTCAGGTGTTATCATTGTGACTGTGTTGATTTATACGTGTGTTCAATGATTTCTGTACCTCTAATAACATCTGAGCGGAGTTCAGCCCTGACCAGCTGCTGGACAGTTCTCTGCAGGGCAGCACTGTCCTGTCCAGGTCCACTCCCTGCGCCTCCTCCAGGCCCTCCTGCAGCTCCCAAGTTGATCCCATTGTCAGAGCGAGCAAGAGTGGACCCAGCAGAGCTTCTCTCGATGTACGACGCATCCAGCGGATCAATGATATTGACACCTGAGGACGCAGACAGGCGGCTGGTTCTGGCCGAAGCTCCGGTGATGGCTTCAAGAGCATCAACGCGAGTCTTGAGGCGTTTTATTTCCTCACCTGTGGCGCCAAAGAGGAGGTCATGAGCATGTGAGGATTATCTCAAGTTTCCTTTGTGAATGTTGGAATAATATCTAACCCAAAGCAATGAGTCCGAAGAGGAGGCCGAGGAGGAAGAGCAGGCTTAGCAGGAGGCCGAGGAGCCACTTCCACCAGCTGCAGCAGGACAAGAACCCGGCCCCGGCCCCGGCGCCGTCTTTGTCTTCATGGATCTCTGGAAAACACAAGAGTTGAAAGAAAGAGTCAGAGCTTGACGTCTTTTCCAGTTTATTCAGTCTAAACAGAAATTTAGCCACCATTAGGAGCATCTAGTGGAGATACTTTCACTGGTATGTAAACTTTTTTAAAAACCTGCAGCTTTTGTGAGGAGATAAGGATGTTACCTACGTTAAAGTGGAATGCACATACTCCATCATGTTTCAAAGCTAAGTCTCTATGTTGTCCCTATTTTTCATAGTTCTTTTTACATTTGTCAAACTTGCTGTTTTCTATCTTATAAGAACAAAGAGATGAAATTGTTTAGATTGTGATTTTTGTTTTTTGAGATGGACCTGAAGACTGAAGATACCACTCTCAAAGTCATATGAGAAATGTAAAGTTACATGCTGGAGGCAAAAAGCAATTAGCTAGTGTTGCATTAGACTGTAAACTGGGTAAAAAGGTTTTTTCAGAGGATACATGCATGCTGTCATTTTTCACATTTTTATTTATTTAGCCTTTACTTAACCAAGTTAGTCCCATTGAGATTACAAATCTCTTTTACAAGTGAGATCTGGCCAAGAGGGCAGGAGCATAGTCCCTACAACAGATAAAATTCACAACATCTCACCATTAAAACAATTTCACATAAAACATTTACACACAGATGAAGTAGGTTGTAATGATTTCACTATAGTTTTAGATTTGCTTAGTTTGGTGACAAGAGCTTGAAGGCAAAGTTCAGACTGTAATTCAGTTCTTACTTTGGGGACAACTAACTGTAGAACATCAATAGAATGGAGACTGTAACTTCCATGCTTTCTTGTTAAGAGACTAGACAAACATGATGGGATATTGCCCAGAATGGCTTTGTAAATGAAGACATACCAGTGAGTGCTTCATATGTGTTGTATGCTAAATGCAAAGTTCAGTGTTACAATAACTGTTGATGATATACATAAAATTTCAGACTACAGAGTAACTGAAATCCTTGACAGAATGCTGATCAGATTATCAGCCTCATACTAGCCTTATGCAAACAAAAATATTCTATATACATAACAGTCTTGTATATAATTTTTGATTGTGAAGTATGGTATTCGCAAAATATTAAAAACCTACATTTGGCAAATAAATCCAGTTACTACCTCAAAACAATCAACAGTTTTTATTTTTTTTTATTTTTTATTTTTTTTTATTTTACGAATTTGTGTTTTGATGGGGCACTACAGACTATGACAATAATCATGGGTAAAGCTGAGCTCATAGCACATAGTAAAAGTTGGAAAGTTATACATACCTGCATAGGTTGCTTTATCTTTGGTGGAAACCTTTAGAGATGAAGCTGTTTAATAAAAGCACAAACAATGAGGCTTTCGTGTTCTATGAAAATCTGAAACTGAAAATCTGAGAAGACTCGATATGCTTTGGCTTACATTTAGCATCAGTTCCTTCCTCCACTGTACTGGATGAGAGCTTCTGTTTCTCCCTCTTAAGTGAGTCCTCGGAGAAAGTACCTAAACAACAACAACAAATACCACACGTGATCACTCATCATATGTAGGAACTGCATCACAACAACAGATCCCTTTTAATCTAGCGTTAAGAGTCAGTCACAGAGTAACAGTACTGCACTTTTATTTAATTTACCGCCAAAGCTAGCAGGTGCAGCAGACATGAACTGCTTCCCCGTGTCTTTGGTCATGATCAGTCGCTCTGTTTCCTTCTTGACCGGAGCGTTCTCCTTCTCTACCATCACGAACTTGAAATCTTTGCCGGACACCTCGTCAGGAGCAGGACTGCTGGGTCTCACTGAAAGACCAACTCATTAGAAACACATCCAGCGGTGTTATCATTGGCAAAAAGACATTAACAGTGATCTCTACTGTGGTCAAAAAGCAGAATATGAACTAACATCTCTTCATGGTTCTTACTTTTTCAAGAAGTATGCGCAAAAGAGAATTCAAAGACAATCATAGACATAATCAAGGGTTTAGTGTCTGATGAGTGAATTGCAAAATCTGACTGAGCACCCGTAAAATCTCTCATCAGTTTGAAGCCTTGAATTAGACTTTGCTTATTACTTTGTTGTTGTTTTGGAGGCAGAGGTGACAATTTTTATCATAATATAAGCCTCCATGACCAATACTGGCAGCCATGATCTTCTTTTTTGTTTATTCTACACCAAACAAAAGTGAATCACAACCACTGTACTGGAGAACATTAGGGGCAATTAACTAGTTGCTTCTATGCCTTAGTGCTGTGTTTTTGTTGCATCCATCCTTATTTTTTTTTTTGTTTTTACTCCCATCGTCCCTAAAACATCCTCAGAGAGTATTTCCTCATAAGGGTCACTTTCATAAATTAACTCTTGGGGCCATTTTCTCACAGACTGCTATTAAATCTGCTGGTTTAAAACCTCCATTTACCACTTTTCAGATAGTGTGGAAACATCTGCTTCTTATATTCAGTCTGTGGTTGCAACAGTGTTTCTCTAGTGAAGTGATGCACCTCTCCAGTTTAAGTATTTTCATTTGAGTGCATTAACTCAAAAAAGGACAGGGAGTGAAATCCATAGGCTTCATAAACACAGGTGGATCTGCCTTAAGATAAAAAAAGCCTCACCTGTGGTTGGACTCAATCCAGGGCCGGATGCATTTTTCTGCACACCATAAACTGTTAAGATGCAGAAAAGCATATTAGACATTACAGCTTGATTTCTTGTTGGTTTGCATACACCGTAACATCTTTTGTGCCAGGACATCTCTGAATTTGATTGATTTATTACCTTGTCTACCGAACTCAAATGTTTTTTCAACAGGTTGGTTTTCCACAACCCTTAAAACCTTATAAAGGGTAACTTCTTTTATTTGAGCTGCAGAGGGCCAGGAAAACATTGTACACATGGCTCACTCTTCATGCTCTAAACCAGTAACTGGCTTCCCAGAACTACCTTAGACTCAAAATCCTTTTACTCGTTTATTATGGCAATCAGACTTGATCAGATCATTTCATAGAATCCACACTTATGTAATGTATTAATCATTATTATTATTATCTGCACATTGCTTCATTACCTAGCTGTGTGCTGGCTCCAGCAGGAGACAGGAGAGTTGGGCCGGTAGTGGCCAGGTTATTCTGAAGTCCATACAGAGGAACTGTAAGACAAAAAAAAACTCATTATGATAACCTGTCAGAGCAGAACTGAGGATGTGAAATCTCAGCTGTCTGTGGCTCACCTGTGCCGCCAACAGAAAGTCCACCGCTCATAGAGGGGGAAGTGAGCGACATGTTGTTCTGCATTCCTCCTGAAAGACACACAACAGAGCACAGGATCATTTAAAATCTGACAAAGCCAACAAGTCTCACCAAAATGTACCTTTCAAAAGGCATCCTCACAACTAAGAGAAACCTGACTGATTTTTGTTTTGCAGACATTTTGGGTCTTTACGAATACAAATTATTAGATTTTTAAGTTTTGATATGACTCTTTTTTCATTGTTTTCCATACTTTTTGTGCTTTTTTTGTATCTTTGTAGCTGCTTCATGCCTGTTTGTCATCATTAGGTATTTATTATAGATCTCAAAATAACTGTTTTTCTCTATCATTGCCATTTTTTGGCATAATCAGCCGGTAGCTTTTGGTCTCTTATCAGTCATTTGCCTCTCAGTGAAACCATCACTAGTTTTGTGTCCTGGCAGTCATTTTTGTCTCATCTTAAGTCCCTTTTAGGGGGTTTCTGCTTCTTTGTATTTGTTTGCTTCTTTTTGTTGGAAATGTTTCGTCTCATTTGAGTATGTGACCAATCATGGCATTACAGAAGAACACTGCCTTCTGTAACAGGTGGCTGATGTCCCTGGTTGTCTTGCGTGACTGACCTGACTGGTAAATGCCGGAGGTATTGGACAGGTTGTTGTGGTTTGTGTTGTAACTGTAGCTGCTGCTCACACCTCCAGACCAAATGCTCCCATACTGATCTAATAGAGACAAAAAAGTGTGAAAGATTAAAAAATCACAGTAGGTTGTCATACTTGTACATTACAACAGAAACTCATTTCTTTTTAGATCAACCTATTGCAGTATCTAATAAAGGTGAATAACCTGCACTGGAGCTCTCAGACATGGTCCTGGTCTCCACGCTGCCCTTCTTGGGGATGGGCAGAGTGTTGTTGGGAGACTGAGTTGGGCTGGGGCTCGTGCTGGTGGAACGGTTTCCCCTAAGCAGACGCTTCACATCATCCAGCTCAGTCCCTGTAATAGTATAGCAGGGATTAGGTGAAGGAGTAGCATAGCTGTTGTAAATCAAGTAAGGCTGGACGATAAACCGAAAATTTACTGATATCAAAATTTACGACAATAATCAACAGCCTTTTGCCCATGTAAATCTATTTGGTGTCAAAAAGGTAAATAAATAAAAGTTTGTTTTGGATGTGTAGGCTATGGTCTCATGTCTTTTTAAGACACTGTCCTACGTCAGAGACGTGACTCCACCTCATCCAGTCCATAAAAAAGGAAAGACAGGTGAGGAGATGGAGGACGGTTCAAAAGTTGTACTTCCTCCTTAATGACAACACCAACACATATTCAAGAAACTTGATGTCAAATGGCACATGAGAACCAGTGTGAATGTCCATTACTACCATCAACATAGCTGGAGTGTGAATAAACAACTCTGCATGATAGAAAAACTGCCTTTTTTATTGCTTAGGTCAGTTTTTTTCATCACTCTATTTCATGTCAGCAAATATTTTCAGCCAAATCTTTTTTTTCAGACACATCCATGACCCACTGAAAATGCTTTTGTGCCACACTTGTTTGTGAATCATGGTTATGTAAGACAGTAAGGGGTCAGCTTTTGAATTGAATCACTCACTGCACTTTCTTATAGCCTGTTTTTTGCAGGATAAAAACAGCATCCTGATTAATACTGCAGAAATAAAGATGCAAAATCTAGCATTAGTTGATAGTAACCTTTGTTCCTTATGTCTTCCACCCTCACATCCAATAGCAGTCAAGTACTACAAAAATGGCAGTGGCCATAGTGCTAAAGTTAAGGGTTCAAAATGACCCTCTTTTTACAGCTGACTGGAGTGTACTTACAGCTTGCTGAGGGGGATGCACTTTGAAGCCTTGTTCTGATTTCAGTCTCTAAAGAAACAAAAGAAAAGTACATTAATATTTTTATCGCTTAAACCTGTTGGGGAAAAACCCTGTGTAGTTATGTATGGTATTTGTACTGTCAATGTGCTGAGTTTTTAAGTTTAGTATGTCTGAGCTCTTAATGTACCTCTGCTTTGACTCCTCCCTCTAGTGGCGTAAGTTGAAGTTGATGCAACTAAAAGATAAAAATAATACTCCATTAACAAAAGTTTATATTTATGGTCACATCAAGGGATATAAAACAACCAAAAAGACAAACTTACCATACTCCTTCCTGTTGTACTCCGGAGAAGAGTTTGTACTTGAACTCTCTAAAACATGCAGACAAAATAAAGGACCCATTAACCTTCAGCTTATTTTCTATTTGCCTGCTGCATATCTGAACATCAAACAGCATTGCATTGACCTATGATCATCACACTAACCATCAAACACCTCTGACATAGCTGCTGCCATGGTCGTGATGTTCTTCCTCTCCTTTGGTGCAGGTGAGTATGAGATCGCAGAGGATGATCCCCTCTTTGTGCCCTCTCCAGCTCCCCCTGAGCTGTAGCTGCTCTTTGACACTGTTGAAACTGTTACAGTGCCGAGACCCCCATCCCGCTTCACCTGACTACTGTTACTCACAAAACCAGAAGACATGCTGGAAGAGCTCCCTCCTGAAGCTTTAAACTCTACTGATGAACCTCCTGAAGCTGCAGAGCTCGCTGCTGCTCCTGCTGAACTCCCTCCACCTGTCAAGCTCTTAACCACCAGACCACCTCCACCTGCCGAGCTTCCTCCCACCGAAGAGCTCTTGACAACAATTTGACTGCTTCCCCCTGCTGAGCTCCCTCCAGCTGTAGAGCTTCCTCCAGCCGAAGAGCTCTTGACAACAACTAGACTGCTTCCTCCTGCTGAGCTCCCTCCAGCTGTAGAGCTTCCTCCAGCCGAAGAGCTCTTGACAACTAGCAGACTGCTTCCTCCTGCTGAGCTCCCTCCAACTGCCGAGCTTCCTCCACCTGTCAAGCTTCCTCCACCTGTTGAGCTTTCTGCACCTGATGAGCTTCCTCCACCTGATGATACAGCTGAAGAAGAAGAAGAAGAAGATCCTATAGTAGTGACAGTTACACCTCCTGATCCACCAGAGCTGGTAGCTTTTGAGCTGCTGGATGTGATGAAAACCGAGCTGCTTGTGCCTCCTGAGCTGCCCGACGCAGCTTTTCCGCCCGACCCCTCTGCACTCTGAGAAGTATCAGCTAGAAGAAATATAAAAGAAGATTAGATATACCATCATCATAAATTATGTTGAACAGTAAGTTAAATGTTCCTGTCTCTTCGAGGCATGTTATCAAAGCCTTTGGATGATTTTGCCCGCCGGAGCTGAATATGACTTTTATGGACTGCCTAAATCCAGTTTTCCTCACAAGCCTGAACTGGCAAAGTGAAATGACCTATGAAGAGAACGGTCTGTTTGTGCTTTTTTTGTACCCTCACAACATTCTCAAGTTAAGCCTCAGCTTGACTGGAAATGCGCCGTAACATGCTTCCTTTATAGCTGCAGAACATTAAATTCTTCCTTTCTCAGGTGAGATTGATTTCAGACACTCATATAATATATAGGTGCTGCTGCTGCTTCTGGGGCTGCTCAGGGTAATGGTTTCTCTTGTCTAATAAAAAAGATTTGCTGTCACTGCAGGGAGTTTAGAGGATGTCTTGACGTCCTTCACTTGTTCCTATCCAAAAATAATTAAAATCTGCATTTATCATTTATTTATCTTCTTAAAACTGTTAAAACTGGTGTTCAGCTGAAACAGCCAGTAAACCACAACGCAAAGCTTAAAAAGTGAACATTCTTATAGAGTTAAGGGGAATAACTTTAGAGGTAACCTCAAGCTCTGCAAGTGACTGGTTGTGATGCTAGTTTAGCGCAGCTAGCATTTGTAAATATGCTCTTGAGTTAATACAGCGTATGTAAGCGCAAAAAGAGAGATAGATGCATTCAGTTTTTCAAACTTCCTTAGCTAGGTTATTGCTAACTTCACAAGATTTAGCTGCTTACTGAGCCCTACCTCTTTACAGCTAATTTTTACTTAAGTTGCTCTATGTTGCTCTTTTCAACTCTTTATCAAAGAGAAAAGCTGCTGCTCAGTTTAAAAGTCAGACTTCTCATTGCTGAACCAAATTTACAGCAGTCACATCAACTAAAACTATGCAAAGCTAAACCATATCTACTAGCTGTCTGTGATGTAGGAGAAGGTTAAAACAATTCTGACCTAACATAAAACAGCCCGACATGAAAGCTTGACTATATTTTTCTAAAGATATATGGCTGATGTAAGCGAAAAAATAAAAGCATTTTTAAATCTAGCAGACAGGAAACTAACATCAGCATGCATTATGAGGTGGTCCAATGAAGAATGGAAAGAAACCAAGACCTTGCTGTCAAGTCAGTGCTTAGCTTAACAAGCTAGCTATTAAGTTGATCTTTACTTTGGTTGTTGAGCACTTTGCATACGATGAAAAAACACAGGTGAGTTGGCATACGTGTGGTACCACCAGCATAATCTACCCCACTATATTGAAATAGCTGCAACTTTTTGGAAACAAACCGAGGGCTATCTGGTGAACAGAGCTATTCTTGTTTTAATGTTGATAATGTTGCATATTATGCAAAAACAGACACATTTCACATCATTGGGACAGAGAGGCATTGGCACTGATTTGGAATCATTTACAAATGGAATTAAAGTTTATTGTTCAACTTCTGTGACCCTTAAGGATCTTAACAGACTTATCATGATCAGACTCTTTTGCATTTTGTCAAACTAATGAATAGATTTTTTCACCCTCTGGCTTATAACTGTAGTAAATCCTTGTTCAATGCCGGACCTATGTGTGGACTTGTCAGTTTTCTTTGCAACCTGCTTTATTAAACCACATTTTAGGGCCGATGAAAGCTGCAAGACTAAGCCAGCTGAACACTGAGTAAAACCATAACTGCCAAAAAGCTGATTAGGAATGCAGGGAACTGATATGTTCTGTGCATTTTTGTTACTTCTGTCATAGTTTCATGGATATTGTCAAGATAGGTTAGATAAGTGATAAGTGCAGCTGTCATTTTCCAACAGACCAAATATGTGTTATTCTGCTGCTGAATGATCATTGCGTATAAATAAATATAGTGTAAATAGTGTAGCGAGGCACAACTTACTTTGTGATGTCAGTCTAGTGGTGGTAGTAACTGTTTTTGTGACCACTGTGAAGAACGAGAAAATACAGTTGTCAAAAATGAATACTCACATTGTTGTTTTAAACATGTTTCCCATAAAAGGAACCCCTGCTTCAGTTCACAACATGTTTTTGAAATGACAGTGAGGATGGGGGGTGTAACGACTCAATTCTCTGCGTTTAGTTCAGCGATTTTGAGCTAATGCCACACACTTTTATCATTGTTGACATTTTAATGCTATGATTAGAGAGCTGTCATAAGGACTTAATTCCCATTACATAGTTACAGTTCAAAGCAATGGTCTGTTATTTCTTAATAGCAGACCACTGTCACGCTCTACAGACCACTGTTATGGATTTTGCTCAATCACAGACCCCTGGGTAGTAAATGAAACCTGATGAAGGCTGCTCAGTTAATTCTTATGGATGTTCAAACTTTGAGTGCGACAGACATTATATAAGGTTCCTGAATCAACAACAGTTTTTCTCACTCCCTGATTATTCTGCACTTCATCTGGGTTTTTGTTTGGTACAACAACTTACTAACACACACCATTCCTTTCTTTCTAGCATGTTAAAGTAAACAACTTGCATTGACGGTTTTGTATTCTCAGATCTTACCTTTGCTACTTCCTCCTGCACCTCCACCTGAGCTGACAGTCTGGACTGTCGTTAGATTATCCATCCACTGCTGTAGCTGTTGCAAAAACAGAAATACCCATTTTTTTCCTCTGAGTATTTTACATGGAAAGGTTCAGGCTACTATGTCTAACATGGAGAGCTAAAACCCATAAGAAGGTGGATTTTTATTACATTGTGCTTGTATGTTATTGTACCCTCAGGCATTTTTTTTCAGTCCCTTTGAAAAAGTCGGATTTTTCATTTTGCATGGTTATATTTCATCTTTTGTGGCCATTCCTCTGAAGGATAGGTCTCTTTACAGTTCAACATGCCACTGATTTAAAGAGTTCACCTGGAGCTGTGTGGAAAGGGCGTAGCTCTTTGTTCACTAGATGAATGTGACTTTGCTCTTAACAAAAGGGACCTACAGTATGATGGCAAATCACTACAGAAAACTCAGGTCTCAGGTTTCAGTCGGAGCTGAAGGAAATGAAATGAAATCTTTAGCCAGCGGTCATACAGGTGGATTGAACCCATAGAGGCATGTATAGACTCTCTCAGAGCAGAGACGTATGCTGATACGAGCCAATTTTATGTAAGAATTATGTTCACCCACTTAAAATAAGAACAACCCTGAGAGAATCTCCAGACTAAAAAATGTGATTTTGATGAAGCATATTTCCATTTTTATTTCGACATAAGTTTTTTTTTTTTTTTGCAGAAGACGGAGACACAGTTGAGTCCAGGCTCAGCCTTAAGTGCATTCAATCTTACTGTCATAGTTCAGGAGTGGGTAATAGTGTGCACGGCCATATGTCAATGTCATTTATAGTACTGCCACTGGGAGGCACTAGAGTTCTGCACTTTAAAAATTTACTCATAATGTCTTTAAATAGCTTATGTTTCAATTTTTAGCTCAAAGAAATAAATACATGAAAATGCATAAGTGAGGAGGAACACTTAAATCCACTGAATCTTCTTAAGACCTAAGTGGACATGCATACAGTACCTTTCCCCCCCAACTTTTGCCTTTAATAATTAGTGAATTTTGGATGTTTTCTTTATGCACTGTCTTACTTTTCTTATTATCTTGACACACAAAAGTGGCTTTTTGCACCATAATGGATTAGTTTATCTTATTATCCTCAAATGAGATGTTTTATCAGGTGGAGTTTTTGCAAAAACATAATAAATCTCAGAGGATTTTGAAAACAGACCAACACTCTTCTCATTGTAATAGGTTGGGCTGAAACACACTACTCTATAATTGCAAGCACTGATAATGTAAACCATTCCTACATCTATGTTTATTTACGTTAGCTTTTTTGCCCTGCTACTCCAAGATATGATTATCAGACAATATGGTGGTGCACTCTTTTCTTGACATAACTGGTGTTATCTCAAGACAACATTGCTGATTCTCCAAGTTTACCACTGATACATCACATGTCTTGTTTGGTCTAATATACCAATAAAGTTTGAGAAGTTTGAGATCTAAAGAAGACTATTAAAATCAACTTGGCATCACAAGACAGAGTAAAAAGCATGGATCTTTGCCTACTTAGAGCTTCTGCAGAAATCCACATTGTTCCAAGATGCATTTTCAAATTATTAACATTAACTTTATGTTTTGAATATGAAACAAAATCCTGTGCAGGTTAATGAAAAGTTTAGAAAACTGTTTGTAAATCGTAACAAAGTTCAGCTAACTTATAGGATCGGTTTGTCCTCCCAAATTGTTTTCCTATGATTTAAAAGGTTCTTCATCCCCTACTGCTGCATTGACAGGTGAATTTATTTGTGCACTCTCAAAGGTTCACTGGTGTTATTTCAAACATGTAGCCTCTAGCAAGAGAAAAGCACATTTTCTTACCTAAACACGAGTGGGCAAACACGTGCAACATGTTGGCACCATAACTATATTTTGAGCATGTTAAAGTTCTCAAAATGTAGAACTTTTTGTCAATTAAAGCTTGAACTCTTGATGTTATCTCTCTTTTTTGCCACCCCAGTAACATGAGGGAATTACTGAAAGAGGTTGGAGTTATTAGCACAGCTTTTGCATGAAAATCAGGTGTTGCATTCCACTTTTCAATTACTTTGCAAAGATCTTGAAACTTCAAGATTCTGAAATTACAGTTGTTTAGAATCTGCATCTTGGTCCATAAGTGCATTTTGTGACCCTTTGGCGTAAGCTGTCTCTTTAAAAAGACATGTTTTAAGCTCAAATTAACTTTTGAATGTCTTGTTTCTAATTTAGCCTGTTTTATACTACTTTGGTTTCAGTTTAGTATAAATTTGTCTTGGCAGATTCTACCCAGTAGGTTTAAAGGAGATACAATATATGATAGCACTAATTAACCAGCATGGACAAGTCTCAAACTGCAAATAGTGTTGTGTGTCAGCTCTAAAAGGACAGGTCAGAGCCACCCATACACTGTGCATCAAAACCACCCACGCTGCCAGCACTCATATCAAATAAAGCACTAACAAGGTGGTTTTAAAAATCTATCCATCCATCTGTCCAGCCATCCATTGATCTTACGCGGGTTGTGGAGGGATGGAGCCCATCCAAGTGGTCACTTTCACAGGGCTGACACTCAAGAAACACAAGAAACAATTTACATTCACACTCACAAGCAATTCAGAGTCTATAATAACTAATTACATAATAACTGAAATATAATGAGCATGTTTTGGGCTGAGGGAGGAAGCAGGAGTAACCAGATAGAACAAGCAAGCATGTCAAAGAGATGCAAACTCCACACTGAAACAGCTCGATAAGTATTGAACCAGAAGTCTCATTTTTGGAAAGCAACAGTGGTAACCACTGCACCACCATGAAGCCCAAAGAAACAGTACATAGTAGAATTATATCAGGTGATATTCAAGGATGTACCAAGATACACAGTAGATACAGGGCATCTCAATCAGAACATGATGAAGTTCAATTTTTTTCCATCAGTTAAAGCTCAAAACGTGGGTTTTTTAACATTTATGAAATAGACTGAAAATTATAGTGAAGCCTTGTTATGATATACCAAAAACAGACAGGACCCTAAATTACAAGTTTGACGATGTAGACTTTGTCATTTTTTGCTCCTGAAACCAGAATGAGGGGTAGGTGCCAGCTAAGCAACTGGGGAAACATTTAATATTTTTAAATAAATGATACCATTTTCAATAGTTAGTAGGTTGAATTTTTTTCGTCAAACAACATTAAGATAAGCAAAGACTAATTTGTCCACAAGGGGCACCAAAACTGACACAAACTTAAAGTTTCTCACAGGAGCTTTAAATACAGTGAGACTGAGATAATTTTCAGAATTTCTGAATTAAGAAAAAGGTTTACCTTTTTTATTGATTAAATACTTGAACAATCTTCGAAAATGCATTTTTGATTTTCATGTGCTATGCACATCATAATGATCAAAATAATGAAAAAAATGGCTTAATATGAATATATGAATATGAGGGAAAATGAGAGTTTGCCTTTTAGGAATGACTCACTAAAAAAAACCAAAACCTAATTTGTTGATATTGCACCTGTTACTGTGAACAGCCTTCCATGTACAATTTATTAAATAGAATACTGTAATACTATAATTGTAGGCCAAGCAAAGAGTGGATGTTACAATGTCATTATGTCATTTAGCAGACGTACTTCTGAGGTGCACTGATTATTTTAGTTTTTAGTTCCACAATTTTCCATATTTTCCACATATTTGATGTACATGACTTAGAAATTCCTTGTCCTTGTGTACATATATATATATATATATATATATATATATATATATATATATATATATATATAGATAGATAGATAGATAGATAGATAGATAGATAGATATATATAGATAGATAGATAGATAGATGCTTACCTTTTAGATCATTTGTCCAAAAACAGTACCTCCCCTCCTTTCTGTTGCCGTCAGATAAAAGCTGAATCAGTCTACTTTTTACACCACATCACATGTATGAAGTCCAGGTGTTTGCAGGTATATGCTCTACTGTGCCAGGGACCTGCATGTGCTTGGAGAGTTTATGTATTAGCTTTGTGTGACTCATAGCTTTGGCAGACAAGTTCCAACAAAGTGCAGGGGGGTTGTTACTCCAGCCCCCGACACACACACACACACACACACACACACACACACACACACACACACACACACACACACACACACACACACACACACACACACACACACACACACACACACAGTGTGCAGACAGAGGAGGGAAAACAGCCCAGGGCTCAATAAATGAAAGAGTTGAAAATGATCATAAAGAAAATTAACTGATTGAACAATGTGTTGCACTCCTGTATGACTAACACAGTGTTTTTTTTTTTTCTTACATGATTGATTGAGCAGTGAAAGTGAGGTGAGGAGTGTGTGAGGAATTTGACCTTGACTCCTGAACAACAAAGAATTTCACTGGAAAGTCAGAGCAAAAACATTTTTTTTCCAAGCAGGCTCATTTTCATCACTTATTTTTAGAAAAAAAAAATGGTGCAGTTCTGCCAACTGTGAGGTCTGTGATTCAGAAGCAGATTTGCATTTTTCTCTTTGGTTTAACAAAACAATGACAAACTGAAGCAAACTGCTCAAATCAGATCTGCAAATGTGTGAAAAATGTCAAATGCGAATATTGATTACATGCAAATTCAGTAAAAATAACAGTCAAGCATTTGAAAATACTTGTAAAGCTTGAAATGGCTGACTTTGTTTACATGCTTTTGGTTTTTCAGTGGCACTGAGGCCTTACCTGCACACCAAGCTAAGCACCTCACGCCCACCTGAACTACAAATGAACCCCAACAGATTTATTCACGGCAGAAAAAGGCAGCCTAAAATCATAAAGCTGAAAAACGAAATAAATTTTAGTTATTGACATGTTAAAACAGCGACAAAAGCAGTGACAGAAGGTAAGACACAGAGAGAATACTCATCTCTCATTAGCACAAATCACCAAACCTCAGCAGAGGTATCTTGCTACAGCTGTGTCAATCATGACTTTGATGGGATATAAAAATCTGGAGCAAGGAAATATATGTTGATTCAAGGTAATGCATGAATCTTTATTACAATTTTTTTTTATTCAATTTAACCTTTATTTAACCACAAGAAAAAAATCGTTAAGCAACACAGTTCACAAAGTTTCTGACAGACAAGGAGAGGTCATAGTCATAGATAAAACAGACAAAATATGTTTGAATTGAATCTTTTACTGAACTCTGGTTGAAGAAACAGTTATATGGGGAAGTGTAACACCTGGCCATATGGCCAGCCAATCACAGGGCCGACATAGATGGACTTTGGGTGAGACTTAACTAACCTAAGAAACAGTTTTTGGTTTAAGGGAGGAAGCTTAAGTGTTCATATTGAACCATAAGTAACGGTATTTGTGAAAACTGGGTTAAACTGTTTTCAGGACCTACAGGCACACATATTCTATGTTGATGTGTGTCTATTTGGCCGATAGCCTGGATTCCTGTCACTCAACAAAATGAAACTCTGTAAACTTTGGAAACCACATCTTGAAGTTGTTAAAGAAATTACCCTGGCATATAAAGTATACACATCATAAAAAAAAATCCAATGGTGCATGTGTGATTTTGCACTCTCCAACAAGTCTAAACACTACTCGTGTGGAATAAATTTTTTTGTGACACAGATGCTTTTCATGGGACGTGCTTCAAAAAACAGCAATAAAACAACAACAAGGCATCATGTTCTCTCCTATGTTCTCTCTCAAATGTTGCCCACTGACTCACTTCTCTCCTCTCCAGAAGCGTAGCCTTGTTTTCCATCTTCAAACTGCTTTGAAAAATGCACAGCTCAGGGAGACGTGAATGAGTGGCATGTTAAAGCCCATACCTCACGGCTAAACAGTATTAGTCAGGTATGTTTTAGTGCAGACAAGTGTGGATCTTCATAAACATGCTTCAGGGCCTACATGTGCAGAAGGATCACATTTTATAGCCTCCAGTTACAATTAAAACCCTCCCGAAGTACACAGAAAAATCAAAACTATGGATATATGACAGGTTTCAGAAACTTGAGAAATATATACTCCTTCAGATGATGTGTTAGGTTGGAAAAAAAAACAAAAAACAGATCCAACCCAATACATCTTTATTTTTATAGCACATTTTAAAAACAACAAGGTCACCAAAGTGCTGCACAATTGATAAAACATAAAAAAGATCAAACAAGAAATTAAAAATTAAGAGCATATAAAAGCAAAAAGAAAGAAAAAAAGATATTAAATCAAATGAAACACTAGGAAATATAAAAATACAATAATAAACAGAGACCACACAACTCTCATGCAGTATTAAAAGCCCAGGAGTAAAAATGAGTTTTTAAACGAGAGTTAAAACTATCCAGGGTGGGGGCCATTTTGATATGGGTGGTCTTTTGTCTACTTTTCGGCACGACAAGACACAGCTGATCTGCTGGTCTCAATGCTCTTGAGGGGGTGTAGACATGTATAAGGTCAGCAATATACTGAGGTGCAAGACCTTTAAATGACTTAAAAACAAACAATAAAATCTTAAAATTAATTCTAAAATGGACAGGGAGCCAGTGGAGGGAGGGGAGAATAGGGGTGATATGATCATGCTTACAAGTTCCTGTTTAAAGACGAGCAGCCACGTTTTGGACTAACTGTAAGCAGGTGAGGGAGACTGGTTAATGCCAGTGTAAAGTGCATTACAGTCGTCCAAATGGGTCGAGATAAAAGCAGGAATCAAACACTCAAAATAATTAAAAGATGCAACAGATTTAATTTTAGATAAAAGCCTCAGATGATAAAAACTGGTTTTAACAACTGAGTTTATCTGTTTATCAAGTTTAAAATCACTGTCCATTTTAACACCAAGGTTTGTGACCATGGGTTTTACATATGGATGCAGGGAGCTCAGGTCTATAGAGCAGACACCACAGGCTCAACTGGGTCCAAACACCATGACCTTGTTTTTTTTCCTCACTTAAAGTTAAAATGTTAAAAGCCATCCATGCCTTGAAGTCCTTTAGGCTCTCTACTAAGGGTATCAGGGAGCTCTTATCATTTTTCTTAAGGGGCAGGTAGATTTGGGAGTTGTCCACATAAAAATGGCAGGAGATGCCATGTTTTTTTTTTAATTAAACCAAGGGGGAGCATGTATAGAGAGAAGAGGATGGGCCCAAGAATAGAACCTTGGGGAACTCCACAAGACAGGGGGGCAGTATAAATGTAGAGCCACCAATCCTCACTGAAAAGCATCTCTTGGACAGATACATGCCTGATCAAAATTTGAACGTGGTAGGATTGTTGAGCTGCATAAACAAGGCCTCTCACAACGTGCCATTGCTGCTGAGGTTGGATGCAGTAAGACAGTCATTTTTCATTTCTTAAAAGATCCAGAGGGTTGTGGAACAAAAAATCAAGTGGTAGACTCCAAAAAATCTCACCAGCGCTGAGCCGTAGGGTCCGAATGCGTGTCTGTTAAGACGATCCTCATCCCAAATTAAGGCCACTACAGGTGCTGACTGCAGCCCAATAACAACCAGACGACATCTGCGAAGGAAGGGCTTCAAAAAGAAAAAACTTCTTCAAATGCCATGTCTCCTTCAACACCATAAAATTGCCAATTTGGACTTTGCAAGGGAGCACCAAACATAAGAGATTCAAAGGTGGAAGAAAGTTTCATTTTCTGATGAGAAAACATTTAACTTTGATGGTCCTGATGGCTTCCAATGCTACTGGCATGACAAGGAGATGTCACCTGAGATGTTTTCTACGCGGCACAGTGGAGGGGGCACCATCATGATCTGGGGTGCTTTCTCCTTTAATGAAACAATGGAGCTCCAGGTTGTGCAGGGGCGTCAAACAGCAGCTGGCTATGGGGAGATGTTGCAGCGGGCATCCCTCATGACTGATAACCCTCGTCTTTGTGGTAATGACTGGGTTTTTCAGCAGGACAACGCTACAGTTCACAATGCCCATCCGACCAAGAATTCTTTCCACGAGAATAGCGTCACCCTTTTGGACCCTCCTGCATGTTCCCCTGATCTAAATCCAATTGAGAACATTTGGGGATGGATGGCAAGGGAGATTTATAAAAATGGACATCAGTTCCAGACAGTGGATGCCCTTCGTGAAGCCATCTTCACCACTTGGAGTAACATTCCCGCTAGCCTTTTGGAAACACTTGCATCAAGCATGCCAAAACGAATTTTTGAAGAAATCAACAACAATGGTTGAGCTACTCATTTCTGAGTCAGTTTGTGACACTTTAATTTCTGTTTTAGGAGGTGTTAAGGTTTTTTTGAGCTGTGGTCTTAAACTGTTGATCAGCTGATGAACAGCTTATTTCAGTTAAACTGTTGTTTTCAATAAATTGCCTGCTCAAAACTTTTGGTCTCTTGTTCCCATTTCTTCTTTTCGCATTTTGAAGCTCTGCTGAGAACCGTCTTAAGGTCCAACAATGCTAAATGTAAATTCTTGCAATTTTTTAACTGGTCTTAAGATTTTGATCAGGAGTATATGATTGGAACCACTCCAAGACGGGAAATGAGAATTTTGTGGTCGACTGTTTTAAAGGCCGCAGTGGGGTCTAAAAGCATAACCACTGTCAGTGGTTTATAAAAGATTATTAAAAACCCTTAAAGTCCCACTCCGATTGTTTTTGAACTACTTTAAGTGTTCTTAGTTGTCTTTAAATTGTGATTAAGTTTTTGCTCTGCACACTGGTCTTTCCATTCGCATTGCCTGTGCAGCAGAAGTGGCAGGTAACATAGGAGCTATTCAGCTCTCGGGCACCAATATCTTTTGGGACACAATGAAAGTTAATATCATAATTAGCTTTCTTACGAGCATTGCAATCCTCCAACGCACGTTTGTTCCGCGATCGTCCTCTGTATTTCTCCTCTTTATGCAGAGTGTGGCCTGCATAGTGGGGCTCCGGGGATGAAGCTTGGATTGGTTACATATGAAATCTCACTGTTTCTGAACCTGCTGTTTGGGTCTGCCAGAGATTCACAGTGATTTGAATGAAGATATACTCAGAAAAGCAATTTCACATTTAGTTTTATCATGATATGTTATGTAGCATCAGAAAAATGCCATATGAACATATAAAAAACAAGAAAAACATTATTTTCATCGCAGTAGGTCCTTGAAAATGCAGACTTACTGCTATGCAAGGCTTTAAAACCAGACTGAAAAATCTCAAAAATACAATGTTCTTCTAAAAAAGACTGCAGCTGTACAAATACAGTTTTCTCAAAGATTTTAGAGATAAAAGGAAGCTTTGAGATGGGTCTATAATTACAAAAGACTAAAGTGTCTAGATTTGGTACCTTTAACAGGGGTTCCACAGCTACCTCTTAAAAATATGCTGGGAAAACATCTGAAGCAAGACTGCTGTTCATGATTTTTTGGACATTAGGTCCAATAGTCTCCCAGACCACTTTAAAGTTGGGGAAGGAACAATGTCTGTGGGACAGGAGGAGGATTTAAGTTGAGTGACAATTTTTGTGAGAGATGAAAGCGACACAGGCTCTAACCGGTTTAAGACAGTTGAGCAAGTGATGGGTATGGAAGGGTCAAAAGAGGGGGGTGAAATATGAGTTCTGACCTTTTGTACTTTCATGATTCATAATTCATATGACTCAAAAATATCCATGCCTGTAAATATTTTTCACTCTTTTTATAAATAATAAAGAATTATGAAATCATCCCAACAGCGTTTATCTATGTAACATCATTAAAGTCTAAAGTGGAGCGTAATTTCTGCATTAGTCATATCGTCAACCTCTCACAGGGCAAGAAGCTAGCCACAGGTGTTTTAAGGCACCTGTCTTTTTAGCATATATTGAGTAAGGAATGTATTAGTCATGACTGTGATTGACTCACAGTTTGCAGGGCTGTAAATCCTCCCACATGTTCGGATGGTTTGCCTCAAAACAACTTTGTCAGAGGACTTTTAAAGGGAAAAGCTCTTGATATTCAATATTTTCCCTTATTCTCAACAACACCTAATAATATATTGACAAGAATAGAATAGAACAGAACAGAGCAGAATAGAATATAATGTCTCTCTTGTCAATGCACATGGTATGATTAAAATATATTGTGGATTTCATTGTATAATGAGCGGTAACAATACAGGCACATTGTAACATATCATCATATTGTCAAGTCCTTTATTCATTCCACAGTGTAATCACATTGTTATTGTATCAGATGTTTAATATGATAACTTTAAAATACACTAAGATAATGTGATTAAGGTACCTAGTTTATATTGCTGCCACAATCTGCAGACAGCTGCAGACGCTGAGTTGCCACCACAGTAATGTCCATTATGCAAAATGGCACCACACACAAAACACTCCCCATACTCGTCTGTCCACTTTATTCCTGAGGGCGCTACTGTATTTACCATTATGGGTGAAACTTCTGGTAATATATTGGGAATAGAATTAAGTTGGTTTGTCATAGTCGCTAATCTTATTAACTGAGCATTGATAGCAGTTGTTTCGAATATAAAATACCTCACTCTGCCTTGTTTTAAACGTATGTTCGGTTTTTAATGAGAGTTTGGAAACTCTTTTACGTAGTTCTGGTACATGTTGAGCCATCTGTGGTTATATTAACAACCAGATGAGGTAGAATTTTTGACTTGAGGAGCACCCAAAACAAAGAGGGAGTGTTCCTGTGACTCTCGTTACTGTTTCCATCATCTGCATTCTGACGAGCTTTGCTTAGAATCAGAGTTAATTTATAAAGCACTTTTCATACAACGATTATGCAACTCAGAGTACTGTACATAAAAAAATTAGGGAAACAATATAAGAACCCCCTTCCTCACACACACACACACACACACACACACACACACACACACACACACACACACACACACACACACACGTGTATGTGGCTAAATGAGACCTAAAATAAATAAATAAATAATTTCAAAATAAATAAAAGTACTGAGCAAACTGAGGGAACACCATCACAAGGGCTCAATGAGAATGAGGGAACACATTATAAATTATGCCTACATTAGAAAAATTGCCATTACAAAAAAAGAAAAGGGAGATGTTGGTGAGTTTCCCTGAGTGATAGTGATTAAAAAAGTATTTTTTTCATAATTTTGTTTAAAATCTGCAAAAATACTAACACACCTTCCACAGCATTTCAGCTGCATGGCAGTACTTAAGCAGCTGTTTGTATTTCACCTGGAGCTGACCCAGGCACAGTAATGTGGGACATTGAGGCTCTGACTCGGCTCTACATCTGCTCTTAAGTTTATAAGATCGTGTCCAAACCTCTGTTAGCGAAATGTGAACAACCTTGTAGCTATATAGAAACTGATAAGCCTCTCTGTATACAGCAATGGTGCTAACAAATCAGGTAAATGCTAGTATACATTATTTGAAGTCATTTCTTGATATCACCCTCCTACCCCTTGATAGAGGAGGGCAATGGATTGATAACATTGTCCCATTTGAAGTGACAGATAGTGTTCCCACATTGTTTTTATCCTAGATGGCTCTAATAATCACGATTTGAGTACAGATACTGTAGAAAATACCGGCTCTGCATCCAGTGACAGAGGGCACCAGGGGACATGCCCACAATTCATGCAAGGCGTCATGGGGCCTGCAAATAAGGTAGATACCTTGAGCTGTATCTTAACAATAAACACTGAAAAAGCTAGCTGTATGACCTAGCCTGGACCCAGTCAGCACAGAATAACTCCCAAACTTTTGACTTTACTTTTAAGGAGGAGCTACACTCTTATAAACGTTGTGTTAAAAACAACCCAATTTGGGTATTCCCAACCCAGCGCTGATTTAATATTGGACAGAGCACATGCTGGGTTAATTTTACCCAACTAATTGGGTTGGTTCACTTAACCCAACAATTGGGTTGTTCATATAACCCAACTAAGGGCTTGATCTACTAAAGGTTTGCGTGTGCAAAAACACGATACATGCCATGATCCTTGTCCAAAAGCTTGTGATTTATTTTGTTTCTCCAGTAAATGATGATTTTCATAAATAATAAGGTCAAACACGGAACAGACGAAAAAAAAATATCTGTTTGTCTTATTGATTTTAAATCGTTTTAATTCCTTTTTTTATTTCTAGTATATCTTCATGTATCTTGAAAGCACTTTGAATTGCCTTGTGTATGAATTGTGCTGTACAAATAGACTTGCCTTGCCTTTTTATGCAGTTCCCAATACGATATGTGCAACTCCATGGCTTCAAACACTCTGCTCTCACAAACTCTTCATGGTGACGGCCGATAGCCCACACAAAATCCTTGTTTTAAGAGGGCGTTCCACACCACTTTTGCTCCCGCTATCAATTGCGCACGCGATGATAATAGATCACCCAACAACACGCCCACTAATTGCACGTGCAATTTTTTAGTTTGCACACGCAATTTAGTGCTCGCTATTTGGGATCTTCAGAGATCAGGCCGTAAGGGTTCACAATAACTACTCTGCTGGGTTCTGCAAACCCAGTATGTTGGGTTTATATTTAATATGATATTAAATAACATGAATGCAAAAGATTTCATATAGTGCTTTGTCAGAGACCCTCAAAGCACTTAAAATTGGAGACATAATTCATTCGCTCACACAGTCGGTGGCGGTAAACTACCTTAGTAGTCACAGCTGTCCTGGGGCCAGTTTGCGCCTACGGCCTCTCTAACCACCACCACACAACACTCACAATCATACACCAGTGGAGGACACACAAGGTGGCTTAGGTGTCTTTCCCAAAGACACAACAGACAGACTTGGGATAGGGGGGAATCGAAACCACCAGCCTTCCGGTTATTGGACGTTAGTATTTTGGCCTACTTCCTGATCTACTGCTGCCCCTTAACAGCTCCCTTTCCATTTTACTGATGGAGAATGACCTTAAGAGTTTGTAAACATTTGGCAGTTCTCTTTTTTTTTATATGGTTGTCTTATCTTTTCAAAATAAACTAAACAGAACAGGAGGTTGTATCTTGCATCCACTCCACTCCACTCCACTCCAAGTCATCCACTGATTGTTCGTATCAACCTAAAACATCAAGACAGAGAGTCCATTAAAGCAGTAGTTCAACATTTTTGACCACAACACACCACATATCAGCTAACGTGCTGGCTTGCTACGTTTGAGGCAATGTACTTCATGCTACTAACGTTGGCTAACCATTAGCTTGCTCACCTACCAATCGATCCCTGAAGG